AACCTAACATTTATGCATAAATGGAGCATTAAGCTGGATTTCACTCTGTCTTGTCTTACCTTGCTAGTGTTAAAGTGCTAATCTTAGTTGAAAATGTCTTCATGAAGGACGAAAGGTAAGAAACACTTGGACATTTCACCCACTGTGTGACATTTGTGGATTTCTATGTTACTTATTGCATTAAACTGCTGCTGTCTCATTTAGAGTATAACCTAAATTAGATGCAGGGCAAGTAACCTATTTGATTTTATAGTTTTTTTGGCAGAAGAGGAAGGGATATGTCCCACTCTCGGCAACCCTAACTGAAGTGACGCACCTCATGACGCTGGAGATTCTACTTTCTTCCCATTGGCTCACAGATATGGGGGTCTCCAGATGTGACCCTTCTCAGATGTTCTGCTGGATTTAAAAGGGGGGGACAGTTTTCAGAACTTAGTCTGCTTTAGTTTGTCGATGTGGTAGCAGAGCTTCAAGGCCGGCCCCAGCTTCAGTCCAAGGTACTTCATGATCATGTCACTCTTTAACAGTAACAACGCGTTTCCATCGATCTCCTGAGAAAAGCAGAGGAAGTCAAAATCAACGAGCAGTTGAAGTTCATTCTTGCTAAATTAGATCAGCAGCGTTACAAGGCGACGTGGCAACAAAACAACCGACTTACATGTTTCCTGAAGACGTCTGCATGAGGGCCGAGAGCCTGGGGATCCGCATCCCTGATGAACCAAACAACATCCTCCACAGACCAGGTGGACGGGTCCTTATTGGATGGAGCCTTGGACTCCTGGGACTCTGGAGATGTATTATAGCCTCCTGGAGGAACAAAGACAAGAGAGTGGCTTTACTTTTGTGTCTCAGGGGAAATAAAGGTCATGACAAGACTGGCTCTATTTCGTCACCTGTCCTGTTGCTCTCTGGGAACGTGTTTGGGCTGGTGGCCGACTGCCTGCACATGCTCATGGAGGCCGAACTGTTGGAGAACTGCTGTGATGAACGAAACCCGTAGGAGGACTTTGGCGAGTAGGACGAACTTATGGAGCTGAAAGCAGAATCTCCGGGATCGACAGAGTAGCGTTTCCCATCCGACTGGTCTAAATGGTAATCCTCTGCCATGGATGTTTCTGCTGAAGACAAGATGGACACTTTGATCAATGACCCTGCAGAAGCTGAGAATTTGTTGATATCATTGCAGTAACTGCTGTTCATTAGGGAAAATGCGGCGGTACCGTCTGACTGGTAGGATCCACCGCTGTGTTGGGTAATGGGCTGATCACTGAAGAGGTTTTCACAGTGCAAGCTGCGACAGAGCTTCTTCAGAAAGCGAAGCACATAGTCGATGCTGTTCACCACGGGGAGGCTCAGGAGATGCTGCTTCCCATCAAATGTGGCTGGAGGAGCAAAACAAGGAACCACTTGAGACACAGTTTAGACGCAGTCTCTTACAAATCAGGTCATTAAACCTTTTGGTATTTTGTTTTCTCAGCACCACCTCAAGTGAAGAAGCTATTAAACAAACAGACACCTGAGCGAGGTCTTGGTACAACACCTGATATTTTTTCTCCTCCGTAGCCTTGCGTGAGGAGCGTGAACACTGTTTTCTGCTGGAAGGCGCTGTCGATGCAGCCCTGGACGGCCTGCTGCAGGACCACGGAGGGTCTGTCGGGTCCGAAGTGGTCGGGGAGCTGCTGGATCTTCTTCCTGTCCAGGTTGGGACCAGTGTTGGCCTGCTTGTTGATGTAGATGCAGACTGAAACGGGACAAACACAAGTGGATCCCAGGTGTCTTTTACGTAAATAATATGACGTTTTAGTGTCTTTGAACTAATCTAGGCTGGACAAAGATTGCTGTAAATGGAATTAGAGTGTTTTGTATCTTACCTGTGAGCACCTGGGGTGTGGCAGAGTGGGGGATGGTGGCAGCATCCTGAGGAATAGAGCTCATATCAGGCTCAGGGGTGCTGCTGGGTGGAGATATGGCCAGAGGTGTCATCACCATCCTGGGTTTGAGCTGCAGAAGAGAAAGTTTTTGGTTGTTTTTGAGCACATCGGTAATTTAATGATGCTAAATCATGCAGATGTGGGGTGTGTTTATAGTCATTTTCCTCCTTAGAGATGAAAATTTACTCCATAATATTTGACTACAGCTGAACAAAGCTTCACAGATGTGAACTTGCTGGTACGTCGGGGTCCCACAACATCTGAAGGGCATGCAGCCTGTCTGTCTGTCTGTCTGTCTGTCTGTCTGTCTGTGTACACATGCATTTTTAAACACACTGCACCCACACACAGCACAACATCTCATACCCCCACCCCCCATCCCCTCATCATCTGGCTGACCTTGAAGCCCGGCTTTCTCCCCCTCTTCTTGGGCACTTTGAGCGGAGGCAGCGACTCGGGGTAACGGTTAGGAAAATCCATCTTGGCGACATTGCGGAGTGGGGGTCTCCCTCTCTTCCTGCCCGGTATCTTCCCCGTCTGGCTGGGGATGAAGGAGGGAGCCACTGCAGCTGATTGCATCTCACTGTTGTCTGATTTCTGTGCCGCCGTTGCTGCAGGTACACTCATTTGGAGCTGGAGACAAAGGGAGAAACAAGCAGTGAGCCCGAGCAGGAGATACACACTGAAACATGCACTTTACTCGCACATTAATCCTCCTCCTCCTCCTCCTCCTTCTCCTCCTCCTCCTCGGCTGCAGCTACATACTAGAAGAGCAGCGTTAGCATCAATTCAGAGCAGATTCAGGCAAAGGTGTGCATCCAAACGCTGGGAAGACTGCACTGTACTCAGCTGAGCAATGCAGTGAGAGGGGCAGCATTTAGCAGAGCAACATAATAATCAGGGGAAAAAAAATGAAACACAAAAGGCAGCCGTGCATGAGCTGTGGAGGAAACAGCACCTCCATCCTGCGCTGATAACACACCAATAAACCTGAGAGCGAGAGAGGGAAGAAGGGAGGGGGGGAGACTATTACCTGCTGTCTTCTATTGTGAAAGCCCACAGCCAAGCCCTTTTGTCTTAAATCCCAGGAGCCTAAAGGCGACTATAAAGCTAAATCCCTTCACAGTGCAGGAAAAGCCATCTTGCTCTTGCTGTTTGTGGCTTTTTCCCCTCGTTGCCTTTTTTGTTAACACACTGCTGCTGCTGCTGCTGCTGCTGTTACTGCTGCTGCTGCTGCTGCTGCTGCTCGGCACCCGGGCTGCAGACATCTCATTAGACTAATGCATTCAGCAGTGGCAGAGGGAGGAGGGAAATTGACTTCACCATGGCTACCCAGCTATGAATTACCATTATGATGACAGCTTCCACCCTAATCTTTAATAAAATAAAATAAAAGGAGAATAGAAACAAGAAGAAGTGGCTACCAAAAGAGAAACCATTGCAGCAGCAATCCAAAAAAAATAAAGTGCCATTTGTGCCACTAGAATTTATCGTTGTGGTATTTTTTTAAAGGAGAATTATCCAAGCATACAGCATGTAAACAAACAATAAGCGGTCAGCAGACACTCACCATCCAGGACAGATGTGGAGATGTGGAGTATCCCAACGCTGTGTGCTGTGTTTTTTATATATATATATATATAAATATATTTTGCTGCTTCCAATAGCAGAGCGAGGATCTCACAGCGAGGCGGATTCCACTGTAATACTGTATATATCTGTGTGTGTGTGTGTGTGTGTGTGTACAACAGAGGCAGACAGACAGAGAGCGAGTGACAGTGTGTGTGTGTGTGTGTAGAGTGTGTGTGTGCACAAAAAAGAGAGAGAGAGAGGGAGAAGGGCTGCTCTGTTGTCATGGCAACAAGCCTGTAAGCCCTGTAACACCCTGACAGTTGTCTGCCATGTTTTGTCTGCAACTCCGGCTCAGTGCCGCGTGTATGTGTGTGCGTGTGCGGATGTATAATTAGCACGAGGACGTAGTTTCTGCTGTTAATTATAATGAGAATGACTGTTATTTTTATCTCTCTCTTTTTTTTTTGTGAAAAATAAGAGACACAGTTTTTGTGTGTGTGCTATAAATGGCATGAAAATTATGGAATGACACATTTACAGCTTCGGTAATTAGTTGATGAATTGATTACTTTGCTGTTTTGATCATTTTGGTAAAATTCCCAAACATTTGGTGGTTCCAGCTTCCCAAAATGTGAGGAAATGGTGCCTTTCTTTGTCATGCCTGATAGTAAACTGAATATATTTGGGTTTTCCACCACTAGTCAAACAAATAAAGGCATCTGAAGACATCCGCCTTGATTTATTATGTATTTTCTGACATTTTACAGAGAAAAATAATCACCAGTGAAGATAATTATTAGCAGCACTAGATAAATTATTCAAAGTGCACCTATATTATAGCAGATAAAAATGCTAGAGATGAAAAAAAAGGTTGATCATTTGATTTGCTGCCCTTTTGTTCCACCTTATTCAAGTGGGAGGATTTGCTGCATTCCTCTTATTCATCTCATCTCTGACTGTTGATAAGCCAAAATGAGCAATTTTAATATTTGAATTGGCTGTTTAACTAGAATACAGCAAAAATATTTTTTTTTAATTCAAGAGTGAAAATGTTCTCTAAATTTAGGATGATTCATTGATACTTTCAGTGGAATTGTAATTTGTATTTCCAGTTGTGTTTACTCAGTCTCAGGTTGCTTTGATCATCCGTTTTTTCTCACTAACCCACACCTTTCTAAAATGATGTTTCAACGTGCTGCACAAAGCTAACATTAAAATATGGGGGACAAAACCAAGTGGGCAAAGTGCCAAATGTGTAAAAGAGCAAAATTAAATTAAACACAATACAAAGGATATTAAAAATAATCGGATCAACCCAGTAAATACAAGAACTAACTAAAATAATCACAATAACAACAATTAAAAGAGGCCGTATGATAAGTAACGTGTTTTCACTAAAATCAGAGATCTGTCGCTCCCTGCTGGCCGACAACCGGAAGCGCTTCTGTTTGAAGTTTCTTTGTTAATAAAGTTTTGTTGACAAAACTTGAAACCAAGATGGCAGCGCGCATACCGCTGTCTGTAAAGATGTCACCCTCAGCCTCAGCGGGCTTCAGGGTCCTTTTAGCTGAACAATATTATTCAGGAAAGCTGCTAAAATCTTTTAAAGAGCTCTACAGACGAGGTGAGGCGTGTTTTTATGTGGTTCTAAACTATTACGGGTGTTTGTCCGGTCCTCTAACTGTAATCTCTGCTTGTAACTAACTAAGTTTTGCTAGTTTATCTTTTCCTTGCGTAAATTAATATTTAAATTAATACAAAATACATCTAAGTTGAAGCGAATTAATGCTTTATAAGTATTGCTATTAGTTATTTTGAACGTTTTTGACTTGTCAGCTGTCACACTTGCTAACCTCTGGTCTTCGCCCACCAGACCAACATTTTCGTAACTTTCTATTTAATGACATTTAAAGCTAATTTCTTTCACAAAAGCGCCAACTTGCCGTTAATACACGTGTTGTTATCGTGTTAAAGGTTACTCGGTGAAAGCCCGGCAGGTGGAGGAGGACAGCGGTGTGAGCGCCGCCGGGTTCAGCGGGCCTCTGGACCACTACAACGGGCTGATCAGAGACGGGACCCTGCGGGAGGACGAGCACCAGAAGGCGGTGCTGCAGACACTGGACCAGCTGCACAAAACCCTGAGAGGATACAGCAACACACCCACATCCATCTTCTCCAAGGTACACAGGAAACATGCACAGGCCTTGTTAGCACCTTAAAACTCTGGGAGCTTCAACCAAACCCCAGAAATCTTAAAAGTTTATCCTGATAACTGCACCACCTTCCAGTTATTTCAGAGTATACTGAATGTAATACATGAAACACTGCGCTCTGTGCAAAATAAAGTAATCTAACCTTACCCACGGTGCACAATAGCATCACAGTGAGTGCAGGGTAACTGTTGCAGTGATTCTCAAACTGTGTGTCTTTGAGTTAGTCATATTTAGTATTAAGTTGGATAATTAACAGCTATAATCATATGTACAGATTCGCCTTGGAATCCTTGTGTGCAAGAATTTTATTTTAATAGCATTGTAGTAATAATCAAAACATATATGCTGTGTTCGTAGCTGGCAGAAACAATGACATTTGTTTCCATAACTCATTTTATACAGCAGCCTACAATAAAACACTAAAATGTTCCTATTGCTTTGCTTGCTAAGTTCAGGATTAGAGAATTCATGTTTTGTGTCTAGTACGGGAAAACATCTATGTGCACGATATTGTTGCTGCTGCTAATATCCCTCTATGTTTACTGTGAAACTGAAAACTGAAACTGTAACAAAACACTTGGCATGAAATATTTTGACTTTAGTAAACAGATCAGACTTTTGCAAACAGTAAAATATCCTTTTTTTTAAATCAACTTTATCATGTTGTTATGTTTTGAGGGCTATAATGCATGACTGGAACAACAGATGAATAGATTTGAGCCTATGTTATTTAAATATTATTACTTTTGTTAGAAAAATATAAATAATAATAACAATTTAGATCTATTCATAAGACATTTAGGTCACTAGCCGTGCATGGTCAGGGCTAACAATACTCTTATTCATTATGTTTTTCTCTAATTTTATGTAGAGAATGTTGTAAATATTGTAATATTGCAGGTTCTTAACATTAACATATACGCTAATGCGGCTAATTTATATTTTATGTAATATTGTTGGGTCTTAACCTTAATATTTATATATTGGTGAATGAAAGGCCTTCACCTAATATTTAATGTGGCCATATAAATTCAAATGATAAATAGTACTGTGTCATTTACTTAAATGTGCTATACTATAACCGTTGACTTAACAAATGTTCAATAAATGTTGGTTAAGTTTGTCTTATAGAGACAAATCCCATCTTGAAGTCTGACTAATTCAAGTTTAACTGATCTGTTTTAACCAGTAAAATATCCAGCTAGAGATAAACGGGTTCACATCCAAAGCAAAAAAATGGTTTATTTTTGTGTTATTACTCATATATGCCACCATTTCTAGTGATCCTCAAGTCGGCCATTAGCTTTTTAATTCACCCACCACCACTCTGTACTATATGTAAATGCATCATTTCAGCGGCATGCCGTTTTTAAGTAAAGCTATCAGTTTACGTCCACAGTGTTACTCTAATCTTCTTACTCAGTCTTATCATTCGTAGGCTTTGTTGAAACAACTCACCCTTCTGCTCTCATACTGTGTGGAAAAGAGGTGTTTAGTTGTGGGTTTTAGGGTTTGACTGCTCTGTTTTTTCCAACATCAGTACCAAGATATTAGTAATCAAGGAGACCAATAACGGATGCTTAGAACCAAATAGTGATATAGAATTCTAGTTAAAATAAAAATCTTGGTGTCAAAGTTCTAAATAAAACAAAAACTTGGTTGAAAAAAAAACTTTTCAACATTTATCCTTAAAGTGTTCACAGATTATCATACACTCACAAAGTTGTGAGTCCTGCATCTGTTTGCATAACTGTAAGACTTAGCTGATATTTAACACATTACAAAAGAAATGTGAAAAAATTCAAATTAATCGTCACTCATTTATCTATTTTAAATCATCCTGATACATATTCAGACACATTTCAAAGAAGATTATTGCTGATTTTTTCCCTCTTTGTTTAATTTTTTTCAGTTTTTTACAAAACCTAAGCCTCCAAAAGGCTACTACATCTTCGGCGACGTTGGTAAGAGAAAACTTTGGATCTCAATATAATTTCTTTCTTGTATTTTACGATTAGATTTGTTCCCAACTCAACCGATCTCTCTTGTCTCAGGCACAGGAAAAACTATGGTGATGGACATGTTTTATTCATACGTGGAGACGGAAAAGAAGAAGAGGGTTCATTTCCATGGTTTTATGCTGGACGTGCATAAAAGTGAGTACGATTCAGAGTGAAGCTGCATTTCAGAGAAGAGCGGAATGAATGATGTTCCATCTTTGGACTTTCTGTGCTTCTAGCAGCCACTTGGGGGCAGATAAGGTAACTGTGGTTGAAAGCACCAATGAATGCATGAATAAATGAGTTTTTTGAAGCATGAAGTGCCTTACATCTGTGAAGTGGGAGGACAAACAAAAATGTCCCTATGTCATCAGAAAATGGGTCTTTAAAAAAATCACTTGAAGCTATACAGTTTCTCTCTGGTCATGTAGCCAGACTTAAACATCTGTTTTTAAAAATAATTTCATATTAGAATGTTTACCTAAATCCTACTGTCAGGAACACGGCTCGGCCAAAGATGAATTAATTTGGGGAAATTTAATCTATTTCAGAGGCAGAATCTCTCTTTCTTCTCATATTCATTCATTCATTCATTCATTCACTATTAATTCAGTTCATTAAATCGCCTGTCAGTGGTCACAAGCAGCCCACTGAATCAGCAGCTCTGTGAACGCTGATTTGCATCCGTGACACTGTGCATCATTGTTGATATTTTGGGGTCTGAAGCCAAAATGTTGAAAATGATCAACAACCTTGAATATTTTTACCACCAGCTTCTGCTGCACTCCACACACAACAGAACAGCAAACCTTTATGCTGTCCAGTACGTTGTGCAGAAGAGCACTGTAAATGATCCAGAAAGAACTTAAGCATGTTGACATATGTTGCATTAGATATTCTCACAAGGCCCTAGTTTCACCACACTGTTGAACACTTTCAGTCACAGTCTGCAGAAAAGTGCAGCGCTGTGGTTGTGAAACGGCGCTTGTCTGTATTTTTTTTTTTTAGTCACCACATCATGGTTTTGTTACAGTTAAGGCAACGCTGTGTTTGCGTGTTGTGTTATGTGTTCACGTCAAGTGCTTTAAATGGGTCTAAAAATACTACTCTGTCGTCTCTCGAGTGCTATTATTTCACAAAGCTGAAGATTCTAAATAAAAAATCGAATTCTCCCTTTAATATTTCCATTGTATTTAAAGCATCTACACACTCTGCACTCTTTGAATCTTTACACCACAAATTTAAAACTATGTACTGTGCCTTTATGTTATGTGGTTGTTTTCCTCTTGTCTTGACCTCCACATCAGTAGTTTCCAGTGTTTGTGTTGATTCATTTGTATTTATACTTACTACAGGATTACAAGTGTAAATGTAGCTTCTTTGAATCTTCAGGGATCCATCGGCTGAAGCAGAGCATGCCGAAGAGGAAAGCAGGCAAAATGGCCAAGTCGTACGACCCCATCGCTCCGGTTGCTGAGGAGATCAGTGAGGAGGCTTGTCTGCTGTGCTTTGATGAGTTTCAGGTAGCTTAAACTATCTTTTAAATCCAGTGTCCTGTTGTTGTGGTTTACCTGCAGCTGATTTATTTCTGATGCACGTTTCAGGTCACTGATATCGCCGACGCCATGATTCTCAAGCAGCTTTTTGAGAATCTGTTTCAGAACGGAGTTGTAGTTGTAGCCACTTCTAATCGTCCCCCTGAAGGTAGGCGTTGTAATACGCTTACATCTGCATAATATGGCATGTTTCAAACGTCTTTGGTCTATATAAAATTTTAAAAAACACACACACTGCTTTTGTGAAAAGTTTGAAGCACAAAATAAATGTTGGAAGTCAGTATGTGGGAATGTATTCATACACCGATCAGCCACAACACTGAAACTACTGATTGAGAGCTTAAGTAAATAACAGATCATCTTAAGAAGTGGTGAGATATACAAGGCAGCAAACACACTCTCAGTTCTTGCATTCGATGTGTTGGAAGTGGGAAAATTGGGCACCCTATGGATCAGAGAAACTCTGACAAGAACCAAACTGTGATGGAGGAACAACTGAGTCAGAGCATCAACAACAGCAGGTGTTGTGGGATGTTCCTGATATGCAGTAGTTATTAAAAGTGGTCAGAAGAAGGACAACCTGTGAATCAGGGTCAGTGATGTGTGTAGTGATTGAAGAGCACAAATAGCAGAAAACCTCAACGCTGCTGTGACAGAAAGGTGTCAGAACACGTAGTGCGGCACAGTTTGCTCTAAATGAGGCTGTGTAGCTGCAGAGCGGTCAGAGTGTCCATGCTGACGCCTCCCACCACTGAAAACACCTACAATGGGCAGGTGAGCGTCAGAACTGGACGGTGGAGGGATACAAGGAGGAGACCTTGTCTGTAGGGCTGGACCCGAATAGCCGACTATTCGTTCGCTGTGCTGGAATTGGGATATCAATGTAATGTAGACAGCAGCTCCTATTAACTGAGGAAGAGGTGGCAGTAAAATGCTCTGTGGGAAGAAGGTGAAGTTGCAAAGGCAGCGTGCTGCTGTCAGCAATGATGTGCAAGGAAACTTTGAGTCGTTGTTGTTGTGCGTTGACACATACCTAAATATCTTTGCAAAACACTTGCACCCCTTCCTGGCAGCATTGTTGTACTTGATGGCCTGTTTCAGTAGAATAATGCTCCCTGCCACACTGCAAACATTGTCCAGGGATGGTTTGAGGAACAAAGAGTTCAAACTGTTGCCTCAACGTTCCCCAGTTCTCAGTCGAGCGTTTGTGGGATGTGCTGGAAAAACAAGTACCATCCGTGCAGGACTTAAAGCATCTGCTGCTAATTTCTTGGTGCCTGAAACCACAAGAGGTCTGTGGTGTTCAGGCCTCGATGGGTCAGAACTGTTTTGGTTGAAGAAGACGACCTACACAACATCAGGCAGCGAATTTAAATATTGTGGCTGATCGATAACATAAAAACAGAGTGGATTTAGTTTGATTTGAAATGAAACATATACCTATCGTATGACCTGACAGATGGCATTGTATGTCTGTAAAAGGAAATATTCATGCATCTTTTTCATCATATTAATAAAGCGTACACATTTTTGACATCCTTTTTGTGGTATCCCTAATTTCTAACGAAGAGAACGTTTATTTCACCTGTTGTTAAATAAGACATTTCAGAATGGAATAGTCCCTCAGCTGTTTCTGTTCTTTCTGCCATATTGAATTTATGCTTTTTAATACTTTTTATTATTCTATTGCCACCATTTGTATTTTCTTGCACCTTAACTTTGTTCTTCTACCGGCGTGATTTGCAACTTATTTTTCTTACTTGCAATAAGTTTGAGCTACTGGATATTTAGAATTTCCTAAAGGGGATGAATGAAGTATCTATCTATGTATCCTCAGAATCTGTCAAAAGTCGGGACATGTTAAAGTTTTTAAAGCCGGTGCACTTTTATAGATTTAACAGAAGATCTACAGCCAACGTGAGAAATCTTTTTTGTCATCTTTCCTCAGATTTGTATAAAAACGGGCTGCAGAGAGTCAACTTTGTGCCTTTTATTGCGGTGCTGCAGGTAAGAGAGTAAAATGTTACAATAATATTATCCTCTCCTGCTGCTTTGTGTGGTGAGCACAATAAAATATCTGTGAACTGTTTCTCTCCTGCAGAAATACTGCCAAACTCTTCGCCTGGATTCGGGGATCGACTACCGCAAACAGAACAGACCCTCAGCTGGAAAACTCTACTTCCTGTAAGAAACGCTTGTCGTAAAAACAAACCGTTTCCTACCTGCTCAGGTTTTCTCTCTGTAATGTTTCCCTGTGACATTTATCGTAGCTCCAGCGAGCCTGACGTAGAAGCGACTCTGGATAAGATGTTTGATGAGCTGGCTTTCAAACAGAATGACAGTAAGTGGACGTTCAAATGACATTGTTCTTAACCGATGTGGGATGTTGTTGACATTTTATCTGCTTTGCTGCAGAAATATCACTCTTCCATATCATTAAAATACTTTTTTTCCTCCCCCTACAGTAACACGACCAAGAGTTCTGAATGTTAACAACAGGAAGGTGCGTCTGAACAAAGCGTGTGGGACCATCGCAGACTGTACGTTTGAGGAGCTGTGTGACAGAGTGAGTCTCACTAGTTTGGTTTTATTTTAATATATAAATTGTGAGCCCTGTGATAGACTGGTGACCTGTCCAGGGTGTCTCCTGCCTTCGACCTAAGTCAGCTGGGATAGACTCCAGCCCTGCCGCAACCCTAGTGAGGATTAAGTGGTGTATAGATAATGGATGGATGGATGTAAATTGAGCTCCGATTATTTGGTCTGTCAGTGGTCATGCAATTTAAAAAATGTACTGGTTTGTCACATTGTTTTATGACACAAATCAGTTGTTTCATTCAGTCATCAACAAGTTCTAATTGTATTAAATATCTTAGGGGTCGACTGATGTGTTTTTTTCAGCACCAGTATCGATAATCACTCATTAAATTGACCATAAACCGATACAGATTTGCAGTAAACATGAAACTCTTGGTGTCAGAATTGAGAATAACACAAACTCCAACACAAAAATTAGTTAAAATGCGTTAGTTTATTATCGTTTTACATAAGTTTAATTTAAAGAGAGCTATTTAACATTTATCCTTTAGTGTTGATAACTGAGAGAGGCGAGCACATCGGAGGCCAAAGTAGTGCTTTTTTTTGGCCTTTTTGCCTTTATTTGACAGGACAGTAGAGAGCGAGACAGGAAAGTGGGGAGAAGAATGAGGGAAGGACCTGCAGCAAATGGCCCTGGGCTGGATTCGAACCCATGGCCGCTGCATCGGGAACTACAGCCCCAGTACATGGGTCACCAGCTTAACCAGTTGAACTATAGCAGCGGCCCAAGTAGCACATTTTTGAATGAATTTGTTTTTATTAGAAATCTGCAGAAAATATATAAAGACAGCCATAATTGTGAAATGCTGAATAGCGGATCTGATCTCAAATATCGGCCAAGGATGTCTCCTCTCAAACGCTGAAATCAAACTTCTGCTTTTATTAGTTTTCCCAAGAAGTGTTTAAAATTGTCCACATGTAAAATAATTTCTACTTGCTGCTGATGTAATTCTGCTCATAAAGCCCCAGTAAAGATATAATCTGACGTTACCTGTTCCAGTTTTCACTGATTTACCATCGGATCACATTAATCCAGACTCACCGTGTTTCATTTTATACACCTTTTCAATTTCAGTTACATTTTATTTATATCAAATCAACTTTATATATATGGTTCGTTTAACCTGAGTTGACCCAAGAGCTGCACATGTTTGCAGATAGGCAGCAAAAAATGATGTGCAGTCAATATATACAAATATAATAGTAAAATAAATGTATAGACACAGTATAAAACTGGTAAAAATCAATTAGTAAAACTAAATGAAATAGTATGAAATATTAAAAAAGGAAAAAGAGGATATCATGGTGTAAGATCAATTACTAAAATAGAAATAAATATGCAATATTAGGACCACTGAGTGAAGCCAAAAGCCCCTGAAAATGTCTTTCTTTGGGTTTTTCTTTAAAACATCAACGGAGGAGAAGCATTTGATTGAAAGGAGAAGTCTGTTGTAAAGCTCTGGATATATACACCACCAGCTGATCTCAGGGGGATTTACATTAGTCAGGGCAAGACTTTGGAATATTTTAGAGAAACCCTGCAGTTCCTCCTTCAGAAAGCACCACAGAGGGCAGAAAACATCTCTTTTAACAGGAAGAAACGCTGCACAGGTTGGTGAAGCCAGTTACTGCAGATCAGAAACATGCAGCTTTACAGGCAGAGATACCTGCAAAAAGAAAACCGTTTTCTTTGCATTTCAGCCTATTTAGTGTCTTTTAAACTGGTAGAAACTCAACCACTGACTCTCTTGTGACTCTGTTGGGGCTGAAGCAAATTAAAAAATGAGTGGACAAATTAATAAAGCCACAGTTTTCTTGCAAACAGGCGTTTTTTTTTGTGCTTTGATTAAAAGAGTGTTAAAATGGAGATGCGACAACTTAATCCAGTGTGGAGCCGTGGGAAGTTACGCTTTTTGATGAATGTGTTTGAATATACATGTCTCAGCCTTTAGGAGCCAGCGACTACCTGGAGATGTCTCGGCTCTTTGACACCATCTTCATTCGACACATTCCTCTGCTGACGCTGAACAAGAAAACTCAGGCGCGGCGCCTCATAACACTCGTGGATGCTCTCTACGACCACAAGGTACGCACCGCACCCGTTTGCATGCCGACACCGAAGCCCCGAACTTTAGATCTGTCAAAGAGGATTCAACAATAAATCCTCTTGTTTCAGGTTCGGGTGGTGATTCTTGCAGATCACCCGCTGGAGGACATTTTCGTACACGACGGGGATCACGGTCACGATGAGAGCCACGTTCTGATGGACGATCTGGGCCTGAAAAGGGTAAAAGCCTCTTTTCACAGCGGAACCAGTTTTACGTGTTGGGTTCAGCTCTTTCAGCCGTAAAAGTTAGCCGTTAAAGCACACAGCTGAAAGTAAGTCAGCAAACTATTTATGTCTGCGCTGTAAAAATCATCACAACTAACACTTCAGTCTCAACGTTATAATAAAGTCGGACTATAAATCAAGTAGAAACAAGGTTCTCTGTGCATCTTGTAGTAAAATACAGGTGGAACAGGTGCTTCTCAGCTCTGGAAAGCTGTAAAATCAGTCAAAGCATAACGTCTGCCACAAGTGCACAATCCTTTAAATGCATTACTTTAATAATAGAATATAATCTGTAAGTTTTAAACTATTTTTTGATGAATAATTAATTAATTGTGGGATACATAGGTGAGATTATGTAAAATGATTTATGTATTAATCGTGTTTTTTGGTGTGAGGAAGAGAACAGGGGAAGGTTGCATTTCACTGCATTTGAAAGCACAACTTTTACTTTTTTCATGCACGCGGTGCTGGAAAGTTTTTGCAAACACATGTAGTTGCGTGACACAGATCACGTTAGCAGCTGCTAAATGGACTGAGATTGGTTAGTTTAGGGTGTAAACGTCTGGATGTTTGCGTTTCCTTCAACATCTATTTGACATTTAATGGCACGAATCAAACTGTGTGGCTTATGTTAGTTGATTATTGTTTTTTTTAAGCATTAAGAAGTCACTTTTTTAACCCCCTCAGATTTTAGAATTTAGTCTAGACTTCTGCATAAATATGATCTGAAACAATATCGGATTTGCACACACGTCTTTAAAATGGATAAAAAGAACTTAAATAAACAAAAGAGACAAAAATAATACACGTCCTGATTCATTTATTGAGGAATCTGATGTCATGTTGCATATCTGTGAGTGGTAAACGTAGACATACTTCCAGTATGTGGTGTGAACGCCTTGTGCAGCAGTAACTTCCCATCAGCTCTGTGTATCTGCATCATTTTGGTCTAAACAGTCATTTAGCAAACTGCAGAAGGACAGAAATGAGTAGTATGAGAGCATGCAGTAGCTTTCTCTGCATTAGTGTTGTTCAGTGTCCTCCTGATAGATTCATAAACATTAACATCAGCTTATAGGAGACAGTTTGTTACTTTGTGACCCTGCAGACTGTTCATGTCTCACTCTTGAAGAAATATTATTACAATCTGTGAAGTCCAAACTCTTTCGAGGCGGTTTTGTGATCTTTTCCAACAACTCTTCGTTTATGCCATGAAACGCTTCCACAAACGTGTTGTGAAGATCGGACTTTGATCGATTGCTGTTCTTTGAATAAAACAGGACTCACTCCTGATTGTCATCCCATTGATTGAAAACTCCTCATTCTGATCTCACCTTTTAATCAGCCGCTGATACTGGAGGTTCACACGCCTTTGCTACTCAAAGATAAACAACAATGGATCATATTCTTTAAGAAATAGTTTGATAAATATAAATTATGATCTGCTTTTAAGACTTGTGTGAAACTCTGATAATGTCATAGGTCATGTTTGTGCAGAAAAATATGACGATAAAGTCAACTTTAATTAACGTATTGGTTCATAAAATTGTGTTTCAGTTTCCCTAAATTGTCCACAAAATTGTGTTTAATCTTTTAATATTTTTTTAGGATAGTCTGCTTAATATGTAATAAACAGATAAAAACATAACTTACATCAAATACCATTTTCTTCTCACTAATAAATGAATTGCTTTGACCTCACAGGTACTTTATTTACTTGAATTTTCAAGGATTTAGTTGCCAGTTGCTCAGATACAACAGAACAAGAGCATCGGTGTTGATCTCAGTCAAGTATGTGTGCAAAAAGAATAATAATAACTTAAAAAATAAATACAATAGAAAGTATGAGAGACTCAGCTGTTGTAATTTTAACAATATGTGCATTTTTAGGAGCAAATTCTGAATCTAGGTAAAGTTAAGTTGTTACAGCCGATGGGTCATTTGTTCTCAATTAAAAATCAGTTTTTGAGTTTGTGGCATCTTGTGTGTGTGTACCTGAAACACTGATACGAGTTTGTGTTTCATTTAAAACAACAGATTTAAAATGAAAACACTTCCACACACTGATGATGAGCTGCTGCATTCCCTTTGGTTGCATCATTGTCTGTTGTCTCTCTGACTAATAAATGATAAATGAAAAGTTCTTTCTTCAGTCTGGGAATTTGAAATTGACTAAATGTCAAAGCGTAAAACGTGTGAAATGTACGAGAGCCTCTAAACCCGAGTGAGATAAAGGGAGAGTCAGTGTGAAGATAAAAGGTTTGACATGATCTTAGATGTGTTTGGTGCTCTTTGTGTGTTTACAACCGACTGTGATCCTTTGATTTGTTCTTTTTATACCATAAAGAATTTTAACGTTTCCATCGTTTCACAGGAAGAGGCCAGCAGTCTGTCCATCTTCAGCGGAGAGGAGGAAAAATTTGCCTTCCAGAGGACAGTTTCTCGACTCACAGAGATGCAAACAGAAGAGTATTGGTTGGAGGGCGACAGAAGCACAAAATCGCAGGTGTAACATTTGTTAAACAGCCTCCGTCCTCCATAAACTGCACTCCTCTCTGCCAAAAACAGCCCAGACTGAACACTACTCCTACTCACCTTATCCAGCACGAACCCAGCGGGGCTGCTCCACAGAGCCTCGTGTGCAAACGTTGTACAGAGAATATTTATTGCTGTCTTGGGTGCTTTTATCATTTTAATGCACTTTATGGATCAATCTTAAGCTGGACTTTGGGGTGTCATGTTTGCTTTTGTGTCATATTGAGGTCCAACTTTTATTTTATTTTATTTTTTTTAATCTGGGGGAAATCAACTGGACGACTTTTGGAAAACCAGAAGGACTTTTATGAAGATTTAAGGGACGTTTTAATCTGATCTCTTTTGAGATACGCAGCGGTTTTAAAAAAATATATTGTATTTGTAAATGAAGTGAACACAATTATAAATACAGTGGCAGCAGATGAGAGTTTATTTGAGCTGTAACATCTGACTACATTCATCGCTTTTTATCATTTAACTGATAAAAAGCAACCATAAAACACATTTATTACGTTTTCCTGTGAGATACTTTTGTGTATTTGTCTCTGCAAATGAAACATTTCAGGTGTCAGTGTTGGTTGATGTTTAGCTTGATGCATATTTACATGAACCTTGTCTTTATTTAAACACACTAATGCACGCAGGCTTACGAAAACAAAGACCGCACTGTGTGGGAAGTGAAAGTGAGAAAAAAAAAAAAAAAACTTTCAGAGTTTACCCCCTGTACAAACAAACGTGTTACAGGTACAAACAGACAGTTGGTGGTGTTTCATTTTGTGGAGTCTGTGGTTGTGTTTTTTTTTTTTTTTTTCTCTTTCTTGCAAAAAAAACAACTAAATCTCAAGTCAAAGCTGTTTCAGATCAGTGGAGATGATTTACTTCAGCCGAGAGTTGCATCAGATAAGATCATGTTCTTTAACTGGCAAAATCAACAGTCAGTGAGGTTAACGAAACAATATTCCTGTTTAGGTTTAATGCACACATGGAAACAAAAAATAAATAAATCACAAGTGGCTTGTAAAACGAGTCGCTACAGATATTCAGTTTGGTTGCACTGAGTCACTTTTATGAGTTTATACCAGAAATTGAAAACCTTTAAAATCAGTACAATCTACATTTAGACATTTCCTGTGATATAATTCATATTTTAACTCATTGGCACACTTCTGGTTTGGCAATCTGGATGAAATGAACAGTTTTGTGATGTTGATGTGCGTCATATCAATCATAAAACAAAAGAGTTAAACTGTGTGCAGTGCAATAATCCACCATCATGTCTTATGTCACACTCATTGTGTTAGTTTTCATTCTCAGCTCATTTGAAACGAGATTGTTTTGAAATGATCATATGACATGATTTCATCTAAATGAAAGTCAATATGTGTGATATTTAAATCACGTCTTAGCGGGTTGCTAACATTTTAAAAAGTATCAGTGCTTCTGCTTTCACATAAAAGTTTTGAATACATTTCCTACAATGTGTCCTCTACTTATTATTGTTAGCATCTGATCCAGGTCAGTTTCTTTGTGTAAATACGTTTATTATTATCTGTGATGCAGAAAAGCCCTTTTGCACCAAAAACTGAGGTCACATTCAATCCTGCAGACACTCGAAACCTGTGAAGAACCGTCTCCTTTCTTTTTCTTTTTCTATGTTAATTTAACCACTACATTATATTTCCTGTAAATGTTATCCCTCTAAACGCTGCTTCTAGCCTTCTTCTCACTGCTGCTATGAAAGTAGAGAAGCCTGATGCAAAATCTGCTTTTCAGCTGTTATTTACTTTTGTATTTTTGCAGAAATGTAGGTCTTTAATGTAAAAAAAAAAAAAAAGCTTGAAAACCTACGTGATGGGGGCTTTGTTTGCAGCCGTAAAAGCAAAGCTCTTCGGGTCACTAAAACCACACAATTACCATAAAGAACACGAAGGAAATGAACTTTCAATGGTACGTAGAGCCCCGGTTTCAGATAGGAAAGTGACGTGTTTAGAAACTGCACCTCAGAATGACAGCAACCGCCTTCTGTGACTAGTAGTGGATTTTAGTTTTTTGTTTATATTTAGACAGAGATGTAGTTTTGTATTGAAGACAAGAATATTGCACATTTAAAGCTACCAAAATTTAAAGGCATGTTTTTGAGTGAGGCTTTTGAAAGTGTAAAAGTGATTTTATGTCCACTAATGAATGAATGCATCCTTTATAAGAATTGTACTCCTAAGCAACATGGGGAGGATTTAAATCAACCTTTGAGGGATAAAATTAACACTTCTATCTATCTATCTATCTATCTATCTATCTATCTATCTATCTATCTATCTATCTATCTATCTATCTATCTATCTATCTATCTATCTATCTATCAGATTTTACTTGGATCTTGTTCTGGACTTTTGGAATCTTTTGGACCCCAGGCCATTTGATTTAGGTGACAGGTATTGTTTTTTTTTTTTTTAATTTTTGAAGATTTTTTTTTTAAATATAAAAAGAGGGACATTTGTCGTGCATTTAGAACCAAAAAATATGTCAATTTATTTTTAAAAAATTATTTAAAATAGTATAAATTCTATAATAAATACCGACAAATATTTTGCACACATTCTTTCCAATGAACCCCCAAATAGCTTCTATGTGTGGCAACATGAACGTCCTGAAGAGGGTTAAAGTGCTTTACAGAGCAAAAAAAAAAGTAAATTAAAAATAAATTGAAAATTAAAAATAAATTAAAAAAAACAAAAACAATCCCTTCCTAAAGATAGATAAAAAAAGACACATGTATAAATAAATAGAAAATACACTTAAAAACCATTTTTAGTAATAATAATAACAAAAAATAAGAATTCAAATAAATATTAAAATATATCTATCATTATATATAATTAATAGAAATGACTAACAGTAGAATATATTTGCTAGATTTTATTTTGAGGTGTCTCGTGATAAATGTGACCTCAGTATTTGTGGAATCCTGGTTTGTTTTTTGTATTTTTTTCAGGTAAATATTGGAGATGCTGCTTCATTTATGTCACATCTCAGTCAGCAGCTCCAGCCCTCGGTGTGTTTTCGAGGCTCCAGTGGAGACATTAGAGGTGATGTCACTGCTGAGCGGACATCTCCACACTGTCGCTTTAATTTCTGCTCCGTCCAGGGGGCAGGATCGTGTTTTTTCTTTCTCTCTCTCTCTCTCTCTCTCTCTCTCCTTCTCTCTCCTCCTTCTCCTGGACTCGGATCGTTTGCGCCAACCGCAGCAGCAGCAGATTGAATGAAGCGTCTTTGCAGGCTGCTGCTGGCCACACGGAGGACACCGTGCTGGCTCGTCCAAGATGCCACAGACGCGCAGCCACAACGCATCAGTGGGTTTTTTTTTCTCTCTCTCTCTCTCCAGCTCCTAACTGGGCGGATTCGAGCCTCGCCGCGTTTCTCCGGCAGCGGTGAAGGAGCTGCGGGGCCTTGAGTAGCCTCTCTCTCCGCCTCGATGCGATCTGGACGCGGCGGCGCACAGCTCGGGCGGCTGGCGGCTCCGTGCACGGCCGATTAGGAAGAACTCGGTGGGGCGAAGAAAGGAAACGGTCAAGATGGCAGCTGTGTGATGAAGCTGATGTGGAGGCATTAGAGGTAGTTTTCTTTTTTTCCCCCTTTTTTTCTCTCTTCTTTCCCAGCGTGTTTCCTTTTGTCATGCTGGATCGCGGTGCAGGACGCGGGCGCTTGTGAAGGAACGCCGTCTGGATTCCTCCAAGACTCGGACTCTTGGCTGCTGCACATTTCGCGGAGGAAAAAAAAAGGAGAACATTTATTTTTTGCAATGCACGTTTAAGCAGGGTGTGGGCTGTGCACGACAAAAGGCAATGTTTTGTTAATGCTGGTCAGCCCCGCTGCGGATAGACGCCTTGCAGGAGGACAGACAGACAGACGGACACGTGCTGAGCGGAGCGCAGGACATTTGCATACCGTGCATAGTAAATAAACTGTCCCTGAATCCTGCACACAACATTGATGGAATGCGACCCGAGTGATTTTATAACCCTTTGTGCAGCGACCGAGATATTGCGATTAACATGGCTGAGGCGGCGCGTAACGGGGACGAGCCTCCCTCCAACGTGGAGATAGATCCGGATTTCGAGCCCCAGAAGCGGCCGCGCTCCTGCACTTGGCCGCTGCCCCGACCGGAGTCTGGTGCGGGCAAACCCGGGGCGAATGACACTGACGTAATCCCCGAAGAGGAGGATGATGAGGAGGGTGGGAGCTCCGGGAGCGGCGCCGCTCAGAAAGCCAGCGGTGCCATCAAGCCCCGGGAGCCGAGCAGCAGCAGCAGCCTCAGCTCCGTCTCCCAGCCGGTGGAGGTCCAGCGCGGCCCCCGCAAGGAGGAGGCCGGAGACGGCTCGCCTTCCTCGGCGCAAACCCCCCCTGCAGCCCTGGGCGGCTCTGCCTCCCAGCAGCTGAGGAAGTCCTCCGCCCGCAGGAATGCCTGGGGCAACTACTCCTATGCAGACCTCATTACCCAAGCCATCGAGAGCTCCCCCGAGAAAAGGCTGACCTTGTCCCAAATCTATGACTGGATGGTGAGGTCTGTGCCATATTTCAAGGACAAAGGCGACAGCAACAGCTCTGCTGGCTGGAAGGTGAGCAGTGACATGCTGGTGATGCTGTCATCACAACAAAGAGCCACACTGTGGTCATGTAAAGACACACAATGCACACAGCTATTGTTGATGTAGACATGGAGGAGGTGGCTGCAAGCACAACTTATCATATGCAGCACTTACAGGAGGATTTGAGGTGATATTTTTAGCTCCAGATAGATAGACACTTTATTTGGGAAATTCAAGGTACCCACTGGCTCACACGTTATATTTAAGATAGAAAAGGAAACCACAGACAAAGGAACGTGCAATGAACATGCTGGTTAAAGAAAAAGCAATAAGCTGCCAAAGATGATGCCATCTTATGAGGCATGTTTGGGTGACGGTGCAGGGGATCAAGGGAATGTGTGGCTGCCTGCTGCTGTACAATAATACATAACCCAGGCTGCTGTCAAAACATTGGAGTATGCTTGTGATAATGTGCATCAAATTACACGCGCCGTTGCATCTAAAAATTTCCGGGGCGCACACAAATCCACAGAGGTAGCAGGTATGACAGTCACCAACGGGCAATGCAAAGTTAATTTCACTTTCAGACAAACTGCTCACACTGCAGCACAGCGGGCTTCTTACGAGCTCCACCAGGGCCCTGCTTCTGTTTGATTTTCAGGATTAGTTCGGCCTGGACCAAACCAATTCATCTGTCATGGAATCAAGTCTGATGAAAGCTTTGAGCTTTGCAGGATTTAGATGAGGAAGAGGAGGGTGTGTGTGTGTGTGTGTGTGTGTTGGGGGGGTGTAGGTTTGTAATCCTGCACAACTGTGTGGATGTACAATGCAGGCTGATTCCAGGAAGCGTCTTCTTGAATAAATCACAGTGACGCTCAAGACTGTGCTTTTTAATTCATCCCTGTGATGCTGATGGGAATGTAAAAAATATACGAGCAACAAACTGATGCTAATAACTGATTAATCTGGCACCAGACCAGCTGCTTAGTTAATGCTTCAGATTAGTGGCGGTCACTTTTCATTCATGTTTGGATGCTCATTTGCCACCAGATGCATTCGGTGGCTTGCGGACGGAAGGAGAAGGGTTAATGTTTGAGGCTTTCACATGTGCTGACATCAGCATTTCCTGGGAGATGCTTTGTAGCTGTGTGACATTCAGCAATCAGCTTAAAGGTTGGTCATCTGCAAGAGGTGCTGTGTGCAAAAAAAATGTCCACAGTGTGTGAATCCAGACCCGGTCACACCTGAGGCTTCAGCAGACCTGCAACAGCTCCAGACTCTCTGCTTTGTCTGCAGGTTGAGTTTTCATCATCCAGACTGAGGCATCCAGCTTCTGTATTGTGGATGGGATGACCACCACCACCACTACCAGCCAGCAGCTCTTCCCTTCACTGTGTCGCCACACTGTCTTTTTCATGTGGCCCGGGCACAAGAATCAATCAGCTGACTATAAATTATGTAGGTCAATGTGTAGCAGTGTGTGTGAGAGAAGCTCAGTGTTTCTCTTTGGATCTGGCTCCGGCTAAACTGGCGTCGCTCCAGTCGCCGCTCAGAACGAGGCTTTGCTCAAAGGGTGCTGCAGCACTGCTGTGGCTGCGTGGGGGAGGGGAAGGCAGGAGTTTGCTCTTTGTGATTTATCTTTAAATGCAGCGCGGCTCATACTGTACGTACCTGTGCAGCTGGTTCCGCATGCGTTTACGTGCATTGGTTGTTTGAGCTGCTGCAGAAATGTTTACACATGCAGACTGGATATCTTACCTCCAACCATAACAACATCCTTTATCAGATGCATGCAGGAGGTGGGAAGCTTCTAATATTCAGTCTTTAGGGACTGAATTTAATGCTTGGATCATGTTGGAGGTTCTATGATGCAACACTACAGCCTCAAAGATGACCCCAGACGTGAATCCTCTCAGCCAAAAGTGTCACAAAGGTTTATTTATTTATTGCAGGGCTGCTGTATTGGATTGCATTAGACTGAGCAGGACAGGTGTTGTTATTGTGTTTTCTGTGTGCATGGGATGTCCAACAGGTTGCAATATTTGTCTCGGCCTTGTTGACAAGTGTGATATTGGATATTGTGGACTGAGGCGACTCTTGGTAAATACAACTGCGAACATTGTGTTTTCCTTTTTTTATTAGTTAGAACTAGTTGCTGATGAGATTTGGATGGAAATAGAGATGCGTCGGTCCCTCCTGTTTCATATGTGTCAGGTTCTTTGTCGATGTTATCATGAATTTCACCATTTTTGCTATGTTTAAGTTGGATATGTGCAACCACGATGGGCCACCAGCCTAATTTTTGCACCACAGTGTCTTTGTTTTATTTATGGCAATGAGATCCATGCAGGGAAATGGCTTTTATAGGCAGTTACTCAACATTAGCAGACACAATGAGGGTAGGTATGTTTTAAAAAGTATGTATTCGGAGAGGAAAAAGACCAAATATAACAAAGTTTCATGATTTTAATCCATATACGCTCATATGTGTCAACAAAACAACCAAATGCAAATCCAGAGGACTTGGATCACAAAGTGTTAAGTGGACCATGCCAAAGCACCCATGGTTCTTTTATTACATGGTGTACCTGAGCAAACGCCAACACAGCCCAAAGCCCGAGTGAAATCGAGGGTGAAAGTTAATCAGAAGATGTTTTAATTTGCAGCGTGACTGAAGCCTAAATCCACAATTTGGTCTGATTTGAATAGTGGGGAGAAAAAACAGGGAATTTGGTTTATTTATAGAGCACATTTACAATGACAATTATTGGCCAAATTGCTTTGCAGAGAAGCTGAAATGCCATCAGATAATTAAAATGCAATTTGTTCGCACATTTCACGGCGCACAAACAGCAGCACGGCCTCCGATAGCTGTGTATTGATGCCGAATCTAAAACATGGGAGCGCTGGCAAAGGGGTGCTAAAAGCCTCAGCCTCAAGTCTCAGCCATATTTATAACGTGGGAGTCGTGACCTGATGCTTACCTCTGTGGATGCCTTAAGTCACGACAGCAGCAGAGGCTGTCAGTTGGGGCTCGGAGGTTTGTGCTCTGCATGCAGGCAAAGCTAAATTTACCTCCTTTTTGTAGAAATGTCTAAACTATTCATATAGGCAGTGGTTTTTATAGAGATTTGTGGACATTATCAGGCACATTTAAAAAAGATTTAGCTGTTTTTAGCCATGAAACTCCCGTATATTTGTCTTAAAAATCCTATAAAAAACATCCATATCCTGTCCAGTCACAGGTGCTGGCAAAATAAAGGAAATCAAAAGCAAACACCGTCTGCACACTCGGAGACGCTTCCCCCTGTGTGTTTTATTAACACCTGCACTGCTGTGACATTTGGAGCGCTCTCTTCGTCTTCTTGGCGCTCTTCATCAAACAATCAGAGATTTATCTGCTTCTAATTATCAGCTCAGCCCTCCGGTTATAAACACAGCTAATGGAAATGGACACATTCCAGCTGACGAGGAAATGTGCAGGATTTGGTGGAAGCCACATGGGAGTCAGATGAGTTCGAGGATAAGCGGTGAGGTGTATTTTTCTTATTGTCAGCAAATCCCATAGAAAAACATAATTATATAAATTATTCCGACGTGCCACAGACCTCTATTGTTGTGCAAAATCTCTGTGCAGTTGCATTTTTCTGCGCTGTTGGTTTATTACCATAAATGTGATCATAGTACTTTATTTTAATACAGTTTCACACATACGCTCCGGCTGCTCTGAATACAAAGTGCCACATATTAATCCACAGTTGAAAATAGTTCCCAGCAAATGCAGCTTTTCCTTCTGTTTGAGTAATGCTGCTTAAAATTTCAGTGTGCAGGACTTTTATGAAAGTCCTGAGGCTTTTACCATAAGTTACGTATATTTTATGTGACCAGTTTTTAAAGGAATAGTTTGGCATTTAGGGAAATTCATATTTGCTTTCTTGCTTACAGTCAGATTAAAAGATTGATGCCAGTCTCATGTCAGTAATAGTAGAGCCTAACTGATGCTGGATTCTTGGGGCTAATAGCAATTTTTGGCAGTAAAAAATTCCAACATCAATGTTGAATCCAATTGTATTGTAAATGTGTTATTTATATTAAAAAGGGAAATTGATAGGGTCAGTGTTTACTAACTTTCAAGCAATATGTTTTACAAAATAGTTAGCAACTTAGCGTTAAGTCACCATTTGACTCCGCACCACTGTCTGCTCAGCTGTGATGCATACTCTGCTACATGTGTTGCGGACGGTGTTGTTAATAGCCTCTGCTGTGTAAACCTGTGATGACACCATTTCGAAGTTACCCCCTTTTTCTAAATTTGGCAAACGCAAGATTTTGAAGTCGAGCATATTGGATAACGTATGAAATACCAGTATGTGTTTGACATGAAGACAAGATAGAAGTGGGTCTACCAGTATGTCTGTCAGGCTCCAATAAATATGAAGCTACACCTAGCACCCAGCTAGCTTAGCATAGCTTAAAGACCTGAAACGGAGGTAGCGGCTAGCCTCACTCTGTCCAAAGGTAATGAAATCTACCGTTAAGCTCAATATACCTCTGTAATCTGTGATATTGCTTTTGTTCAATTTCTTTATAAACCAAAGGAGAAAAACAACATGTTATGAACAAGCATTGCAGTTCCTTCAATTTCCACTTGAGGCAGACTCAAAAAGTGAGTCCACCCCAGTTGACCCCCATGTTAAAATGCTCAGCTTTACAGCAGAAATCAACACGTTTTGCAGCCTGATGCAAAACGGTTTTGGTCTCTGTAGCTAGTTTTTCCCGTTCATGACAGCTGCACGGCGGTGAATATTTGTTTCGCCGGCCCATTTAAATTGCATTGAGGCTTAAAGGTACGCATAATTAACAGACGGCCGCTGTCATAGGCTCAGCTCTACTCACGCTTCGACGCTTTGCTCATTTTTGGATTAGCCGGGTGTTAGGAGGAAGTCAGGCGCTGCCAAGATGGTGACGTCCGACGCCACCAGACTGAGCTTCAGAACGGTTCTTGGGGAATCTTGGTGACGTCATGGAGGGTTCGTCTATCTTTATGTACAATCTATGGTAAAAGATGGAGATGAGCTAGTTGTTTCCTCTGTTTATGGTCTTAGCGTTAAGCTAACTGGCTTAATATTCACCGTACGGCCATGAAAGCAACGAGTAAGCATCAGTCCAATTGTTTATATGAAGATTTGCGACTCCAGTAAGGCCGGTGTTGGGAAGTTGGAAACTATTATATGGACTAGCGCACTCTTGATTTTGATCTATTTATAGGATTTGTTGGAATTGTTTCCAACAATATCCTTTTAAAGTCACTGATTAAATCAAGCCAGACAATCATTGCTGCATTGTGACTGAGCCATGAATGTTTCCAGCTAACCTAATGTGGGCGGATCAGACGGAAAACAGCAGCAAGGTGGCCGCAAGTCATATTTCCCCGATTCCCATGCGCTTTGTTGTTTTAGGAGATGAAAGTGTTTGCTTGTTGACCTAATCCTTTAATTGGCTTGAAGCGAGGGCTTTGCTGGAAGTTTGATGTCAGCGGGTCATTCCATTGACTCAAAGCATTCGGAGGGAAAAACTGAGGCCACTCACTTGTTTCTGATCTCCCAGTCATCACAAAGCCGGAGACGAACCTCCTCCACAGCTGCCGGACCCATATTCTGCTGCAGTTTGTACGTTTGAGCCCGTTTGATTAGTTTAATCTTCGGAGAGATGGATTTAAACGGGACCTCGGTTTACTCAAGTTAATTCAAGCTTAAGAGAATTATGCCGTACCCTCTCCCAGTGAAGTCGGCCTTTGGTTTTACAGAGATCAGTGCAGAGTTTCTCCTTCTGCTGCTGAAGTGTGACAGGCTGGTTGTGCAGGCTCCAGCTGTTTAATTTCGTACATGGTTGGGAACATCTCCAGGGAAATCCTGTAGACCTTTCTGAGCAGCCAGAAATAGGTCACAGTGTGAGGTGCTAAGAAGAAGCGTCTCTTAGAAGACACTGCAGTGTTACAGTGGTTCACAGTGCAATAAAAATCTTCAATTGTCTGTTTGGGGAGCAAGGATGCAACACTGGATGTTGTGCATTGCCTGTTTTTAATCTTTATTTTCTGCATTTAGAGGAACAAAAAATTTCTGATCACAATCTGTCTCATGTCAACATTTATCACAGCAGCCAAGTAGAGCCCTGGGGTGGATGTTTATATGATTGTGGGTCAACATATGTGGTGTTTTTCAAAACCAGTATTGATATCAGTTATTGCTGATCAAGTTGACAGATGTACATTTAGAGTAAATATGAAAATCTTGGTGTCAAATTTGAAAGAACCAAAACCCCAACACAAAACACTGTTGAAATGCTTTTGTTTCCTTACATATATTAATTAAAAGAACGTTTTTATTCTTTATTCTTCAGTGTTGGTAGACTGTTGCTCATGATGCACAACCACAGAGTACTGTGGGCGAAACATTACTTGAGAAGTGGTGACTACAGATCCAGAGACGTGGCTGGATCAGAGCCAAAGCAGGACATTTTTAAACTTCTGAACCCCGACCAGTTTCTGTGGGTTGTTTTATTTATTTTTTTTAGCTTCCGTCACATTTTTAGTCACTGTGGGCTAATATTTCACTGCAATATAAAGTCCTAGTCATGGCAACATTTCTCAAAATGCCCAAATGTGTTACTAATCATGGAAGAAAATGATAGATTTACTTACCATAGATATTTAACAACTTACAATTTTTAATTTGTTTCCATACTTGTCTCCTCTCTGCTCTGTATAAACACAGCCTGCAGTTCAACCCAGGTCAGTTGACAAAAAGTCCCAGAATTTTTTGTCATGGAACTGTTGGTTGCACCTGAGTCATCAACGGCTTCACGGTTGCGTCAAGGAGTGCAGAATTTTTTGATTTTTGCAGAATGTGGTTACTATAAACAATTTATTTTTGGCAGATGTTTAAAGGAGAGTAAAGTAAATTTGGTTACGTTTTCTGATGGAACAGCATGTTACAGATTTATAGTTCGAGGATCATCAGAAACTTGAAAATCTGACAATTCATCCTGTTTTTACAGTTTCTGGCTCTGATAGATAATATGATTTTGCTTTTGTTTTTTTCCACTGGGGCTCAGAGGGTTAAACTTATTTACTTTGAAATGAGCTGAAATAATGTTATTGATAATAGAAAAAATGTGGAATATACGATTCAATAATTGCTCAACCGCTATTATTAATCCCCACCAGTGTGCAGACTCAGTTTGTCCATTTAAACTTTATTATCCACAGTTCGTATGGGGTCACATCCACTTTAGTTTACCTCAGTTACAGGAGTTAAGTCTGGCCCTTGTGGGACTGTGTTGCAACGATGCCATCATGCTCCCAGACCTCAGCAATTAAAATGAGTCCCAGGTTGTTAAAGTAATCCATTTTTATCCTTTAAAGGTGTTCTTAGTTTAGTATCGAACTACAGTAACTGCTTAAACAGATGCTGTAGAAACCCACGCTCTGACTTCTAGTCTCCAGTATCAGTGAACTTCCAAGATCCTACATTTCTCATCATGTCGTCAGCAGCTTCTTTTCATTAGACTCCCATTGCCTGGTAGACAGCCACATATTTCAGAGGCTTTTTGCCTAAATAGCTGTAGTCTCGAAGTCCACGCTCCAAAACCACCAAAAAACTTATACAAGTGATTTACGATTGAGTAGTTTTCCTCTGGGCTAATAAAATAACTCAAAATCACTCACTTGTGTAACATGTAAAATCTGTGTAATTCCACTTTAAGCTTGTTGTGTAACACTAGCCATATTTTATAAGGCTACGGAAATCATGTTTGACACATTTTTTAATTGTTTTCATCCTTTTTTATTGCAGAATTCCATCCGACACAATCTGTCCCTCCATAGTCGTTTTGTGAAAGTCCAGAATGAAGGAACAGGGAAGAGCTCCTGGTGGATGGTCAACCCAGAAGGCGGGAAAGGAGGCAAGGCTCCCCGACGACGGGCTGTTTCGATGGATAACAGTAAGTACATCAAAGGAGCCCGAGGACGAGCCACCAAGAAGAAGGCCTCACTGCAGGCTGCTCAAGACGGCAGCTCCGAGAGCTCGTCCAGCCTCTCCAAGTGGACGGGAAGTCCCACCTCCCGCAGCAGCGACGAGCTGGACGCCTGGACAGACTTCCGCTCCCGGACCAATTCCAACGCCAGCACACTCAGCGGTCGTCTGTCCCCGATCCTGGCTAACCTGGAGCTGGACGAGGTGCCCGACGACGACTCGCCCCTCTCCCCGATGCTGTACTCCAGCCCCAGCAGCATGTCTCCATCCACGGGCCCCACAGGACTCTCCGACCTGGCAGGTACCATGAACCTCAACGACGGGCTCTCCGACAACCTGATGGATGATCTTTTAGACAATATCAGCCTGACGGCATCCCAGCAACCTCCTCCTGGAGAGGAAGACAATGGCGCCAACGGTCAGGGGAGCTCTGTGTTTACCTTCAGCTGCTCGGGAAGCAGCCTGGGAAGCCCCTCCGGCAGCTACGGGCCGAACCCTCTTTTCAGCCCTCCGTCCATCACGAGCCTGCGGCAGTCGCCCATGCAGACCATCCAGGAGAACAAGCAGACCACCTTCTCCTGCATCTCGCACTTCGGCGAGCACCAGACGCTGCAGGATCTGCTCAGCCTGGACTCCCACAGCCACAGCAACGTCATGCTCACCCAGTCCGACCCGCTGATGTCGCAGGCCAGCACCGCCATCGCCCTGCAGAACTCCCGTCGAAACGCCATGCTGCTCCGCAAAGACCACATGCTGGTGAACCACACCGGCGCGGGTCAGGCCCAAAGCTCTTCAGTGCCTGGTTGGCAAGCTGGCTTGTCGACCTCCGACAACGACGCCGGCCACCCCGACGCCAAGCAGCTGAAGTCTCCCAGTAAGAACGCCTCTATGCAGCTCAGCCAGGACCGCTTTCCCGCCGATCTGGACCTCGACGTGTTCAACGGCAGCCTGGAGTGCGACATGGACTCCATCATCCGCAACGAACTGATGGACGCAGATTGCCTGGACCTCAGCTTCGACTCTCGCCTCACCTCCACCCAGAACGCCAACAGGAATTCAGGAAGTTTCTCCAGCTCCAAACAGACGTCCCCCCAGAGCTGGGTGCCAAGCTGAGAAGCTGTCAGCATGAGTCAAAACTAGAAGTGGGGAAAATGTAAATTGGGGTTCATTGTCCTGCATTGTGCAACTAGAGGGAAGAACGTATGTAAAAGTGTATTTATGTAGTATTTTTTTCCCCATTATTTTCAATGTCAGGCATTAATTTCGGTACTGTATTGGTGTCTTCGCAGTGGAGAGAAACTCATTCTTTCAAAGGACCAATGCCTGGACGGTGTGACCAACAGTAGTGACTGGAAATGAAAGTGCAGGACATTGTGTTAAAACGTATACGGAAAGCATCAACTCGTGTTAGTCTCAGGGAATCACTCACATCACAAAGTGATACATGAAACTGAAGATGAATCTCACCCTGCTTTCTCACCTCTTTCACACCCTTTCATATCTAAAAACCAACATTTTTTGCCAAACCAGCTGTCGGCCTGTTGTTTGCCGACAGCCTGTTTACAGAAAAAGCTGCAGAGAATGTTACACTATCACGCTCGAGCGGTGGATACTTGACAAGCTTTTTTTTCTTTTTTTAGGTTCCTTTAAGAGCCGTAGCCTAAATGGACTAAAAAAAAAAAAAAAACTGTTAATGAAAAGCTTTCCCCCCCTCCCATTGATGCACCAAGTCACCAAATATCAATCTTGTAGAGGTTAATATGTTATCAAGATGTGAACTGATCTACATTGTGTGGTTTTTGTATGTAATGTTTTTGTTTTTTTGTTTTTTTTTTTAAAAAGAAAGCAGATTTTACCCTGTGATTTTAGTGACATTACTGTGAATTCTGTTCCTTCTGAAGCGGTGCATTACTGAAGTATTGATAATAAGATGTTTCTGCTGCAGATCCCTTTTCACCTCCCCGCCCTCCCTCTTCCCTCTTACTGCACTGTTGGAAGTACTGCTCTGTATACAGAATTTAAGGACATGATTTAGTTCTAGTCGACACCATTTTACATTAGCAAACACTTAGGAGTGTTTGGATTAAATTAACCACACTTGCTGAAGCCACAGCACTCGATTACCACGTTTTTGGCGTTAATTTGGAGGCGTTCTTGGTGCTATAAATACGAAGATAGCGGGGAGTGGCTGCAGATGGAGCAGCGTCAGTAGCCTCTCCTTTGTTATCAGCACTATAGCAGGTGCTGGGGGAAGAAAAAAAAAAAAAAGGTGTTTCCAACCCTGTGGGAGGAGGAGGGTATGTAGTATCTTAGAGCCAGTATTTTAAATATTGCCAAATTTTTTCTGCATTTAAATAAGTGGAAACAAGAGGATATACAGTACATAGATATTAGGAACCAGTGCTATAAGGGCAAAAAGAAAAAATGAAAAAAGAATCTACATCAGCACAGTTTTGTAGGAACAGCAGGATGAATTATTTTACGTTTACGTTTTTAACAGCCGGAAGCAGATTAAGGACATTTTTGTCCACTTGACCTTGACTATTGTCAAAGTCACATATTTGATTTATTTATTTCTTTTCCTCCTATTGCAATACTTCTCGTTGCCCTCCATGTATAGAGCTGTACAAAAGCACTTTTATTTGGTTGTCTGTCCAAATTAACCTACATTTGACCGCCTCAGTTGATCATCGATCGGGACGAATGCCAAATGGTCCCTGAAATTCTGTGTACCATCAGAGTTAGTGGGGAAATCTAAATGTGTCCAGTTTAACAGTTTAAATACTGAATCCCATTGGCTTACGTTTTGATTTTCCAAAATAAATTCTGCACCCTGGTGCTTCCGAATGAAATTTTCGTTGCTTCTTTTACGATGATTTAAAACATTATTTTTCTCTATTATTTCTGAGTCAAACTCACTGCCAATAATCCTGCATTTCATTTCTTCCTATTGCTCCTACAAAAACAAAAGAGACATCAAGTTGCCAGTTGTAATTCCAATCCTTCTCTTGGTTCTATCACAGATGGTGCATGTAAATAAAGCTTAAAGAACGACTGAAAACCTGGAGGTATTTGATGTACGTTTTTTATTTTATTTTTTTATTATTTCTGTCCCTGGAGGAATTGCTCAGCTGCAGACTTGACTCTGCAGGCACCGTGGAGGTGATTTGCTATTGGATAATCACATCACAAGCTAAGAGCCAATCATACGCTGTATCCAAGAAGAATGGACCAGCTGAGATTAAGTTGAGGTTATTTGAATGCAGGAGGTGCGATTGCTGAGGTAGGCGCTCCTCAACAGCTGATGTATTGTCTGTGGTTTCACATTTACATCTTGTGTGTTACAAATATTTGTTTGCTCTGGTGAGTATCTAAAAAAAGACAGCCTGCCAGCACTGACACATCATCCCAACAAAAGGATGCCTTCAGTGACACGTTGGAGCCCTCTAGAGCTCAGATATAGGCACCGTCTTGAGTCCAGATGAAGGGCAGGAAGTGAAAGAGGAAGCCTGGTTGCAGGGATGTTGGTCTCCATGGATACACAACAACAAATCAGCACAGAGGCAGAGATTTAGCAGCGGTGAAGGAGGCACATGTCTAAATGTGCTTTGGATTGTTTGGATTTCAGCTTCCGAGTTTTCTCAGTTTGTTAATCCTGAGTGAACAGAGGCCATGTGTGACACGTACAGAGTTTCCTCCTCCGTTAAAGTGAAGCAGATGGAGGCGGAGCTGTCGCATCAGCTCGCAGCTCTCAGGACGGAAATCGAGGAGAATGGATTTGGACGGGGAGCAGGGCCGGCCAGCTCTTACAGGTTTGACGATGGTTGTTCCCTGTGAAGTTTTGTGTCTGTTACACTAAGAGGTGATTCTTGGTGTTTGTTATAAAATGACTTGATTGCCAGGTAGGTGGAACTGTGAGCTCCCCTCCACTAAAAACATTGTTTTGGTTATTGTTGACCTTCACTGTGCAGAATGAGGCTTCTTTGAGTTTGATGCTGCAAAGCTTTTACAGGCTGAAGGACAAAAGTTGTTTTGTTTTGTTTTTCTCCCAGTTTTTATTGTTTGTACAGTAAGAACCAAAAAGCAAACAAAAAGGGGCACTGCTTTCCCGTTATCATGATTGATTGCTATTTAAATCAGCCAAATCTGTCTCACATCCTCTCCCTTGTGCAGCACCTATAAAACATATTGGAGGTTTTTCCCTCTAACTTCTTTCAAATATTGAATTATGGTCAATTTAACTTTGACTTTTTTGACAAGAATTTACAAAAAAAAGAAATCTCTTTAATGCCAAAAGAAAAACAGATTTCTACAAAGTAATATCAGTTAATTAAAAGTGTAAAAAAAAAAAAAAAAAGTGCTAGTTGGTGCTGGACATCATACAATTAGTAAAACTGAGTTTATCTGCAAGTAATTGTAGTATAAAGACACTTGTAAGGTGCAGTCACTGGTGAATCACTGCTCCCGGCTTTAACTGCACCATGAAGAAAAAGAGAATTCAAGCAGTTTTAAAAGTCAGCAGACGGATACAAAAAAGACTGAATGATCATGTAAGAAAGACACGTTAGTGAATTTGGCCACCAAGACATCTATGACTTCTAGTTACAAGCTTCAGCGACTCAGATCCAAGAAGCTGCATACAACAACTGTTGGCTGTTCTTCACTAGTCACAGCTTTATGGGAGGGCGGTGACGAGAAATCTGCGTTTGAAAAAAAAAAAAGCTTATAGTAAATAAATCAAAATTGAGCTTTTTGGCCATCAGACGAGAGGTGGACACTACAAACTACACATCATCACAAACACACTAATGTAAGGCATGGTGGCGGCAGCATCATGATGCGGGGATGATTCTTGGCAGCAGGTTCTAGAAGGTTTAAAGGTAGAAGGTAAAATGAATGCAGCCAAGTATGAGGAGGTCCTGGAGGACAATGTGATGCAGTCTGCAAGAGAAGTGCAACATGAGAGAAGAGCTGAAGTATGAAGCCAAAGCTACACAGAAATGGTTTAAAGCTGCTGTTTGATCAGGTGTGTGTGTGTATTGTAGTGTTGGGCCTCAACCGTATTTATTTATACTGGATAGGTTCAATTCTGTAGTTTATAACAGCAGAGGGTCTTGGCTCTATGATTACATTAGTCAAGTCATTCTCCATAATTAATAGCACAATATGATATCAGGATTAATCGATATTGTGGTCAAGTAAAGCAGTATTTTATGTAATTTTTTTGTGGTGTTTTAATCCCTAATATGTAAATTACTATAAATGAAACTATGGTATCATAGTCTTAAACCAATCTGGCATCACTGGTTACAGCTACAGCAGCAAAACTCCTGTTTTACTGAGCAGGGGTGCATTTTACTGCTTCTAAATTCAACTTTTCCACTCATTTTAAATTCTAAAATAGAGCTTTTTTAGGTTTAATTAATTTAAAGCTTTATTTCAGCTCCATTCCACCTCCCAAAGATATTTCTTTCTTTCGTCTGGAGAGGGAACAAGCGCTGAGGAGAGAGCTTCAGGTGAGTCTGAAAATTCACTTTTGTTACAACATGGAGGCTACAGCAAGTTAATTTGTAGATTTTTACTCATGAAAAGCTTTCAAATGTGTAGATGATATGCAAAGGTGAACATATTTAGCCTGATTTAGCTTTTCTCTATCTTAAACAGCCTTTCTTTGGTTTCTGTTTGCTGCTGGTTTCAGGTGGCTGAAGCTTCGCCGGTTCAGTCTCCGGCTGACGTCATGCAGAAAGAGCTGCAGAGCTGCTTGAGTTTAGAGTACGGTCCTGAGAATCTACCGGCTCTGCTGCACCAGGTGAGGACCAACACCAAGAAAGGGCGATTTTAAAAAAAGAAAGAAGATTACAGATAAAGAAAAGCAGACTAGGGGGGCAAAGAAGTGATTTTCAGTGATTTTTCTCTCCACAGTTCTACGTGGACAGATCGTATCACTTGGCTCAGATCAAATATCAACTCATGCTGAGATGGAGGAGATTCTGCCGCCACACCAGCGTCATCGAGCAGCTTTATCCTCACTACAAGGTTACAGCACAGCCCCAGACTGATCTTAACAATGCTTCCCAAAAAATTACATAAATGCTCGTGCTGTGATTTTTACTAGTTTGTGCCGCAGCTCATTTTCCTGCTTTTTAATCTGCATCCACTTCAGCAGCATTAAGATAGAAAACAGGACAGGAGCAGCTGAGACGTCTCACTGAATATTAGTAGTTTAAAAACAGACAGAAAGGGGATGTTTCAGTGACAAATATAGATTTTTTGTGTATTTGATTTGATTTATTTCAGACATGCCACTTTAAACTAAACAACTAAACAAAAACAAAGAACTAAACCAAATCCAGTAGGATGTGTATCCTATTAGTTCCTACCTGCTCCATGTTTGTACATCTAATATCTCACTGCTTACTGCTTTCATCAAACCTTATACTTCAATAAATAAATCAAAATACAAGCTTAGAAAGAAGTATATTACAAATATCCCAAGAAAATCCTAATTCAGGTGTGTTTGGTGCAGTTAAGATGATAATAATAGAGAAAAGAGAGGTTCTTCTGTGACATTATGTTGGGTTAATTCAACAAAAACTACAAGAAATCAGCTTTTATATGTTAAGCCATGTTGTGTGTTATATATATATTATAATGTGCCACAACTTATTTTCCTGCTGTTTAATCTGCCACATTAAGATTTAATACAACAGAGACAGCCAGAAATTTCAAAGTATGTTGGTGATGTGTCTGTGATAATTAAATCAAAATAGAGTCAGTTCTGAAACTGAAAAGTACATCAGAAATATGAAAGGGAAATTTAAAATACGCTTAGTCCAATTAAATTTAAAATAGAGCAATGAGAGGTTCTTTTGTGACATTATGGTGTGATAATTCCAGGATTATGTCCGGCTTCTTTTCTCTCAGGACCAGGTGTCGTACCTGACAGGCGAGTACGAGGATGCCGTTCAGAGATCTCGCAGACTGTCGGCGAGCAGAGAGAAGATGCTGACCGGTCGAGGAAACTCTGCCAACCTGCTCACTCAGGACGACGTGGTGATTTACCTGCGGTGGCTCGTCTGCCACCTGCACTCTGTTCAGACCATCCACAGCTTCCTCAGGGTACAAACACAACATTTCTGTGATTTCTGTCTAATTTTACAGTGTTTATTTCTTTATTTTAATTGATTTTGTCATTTAAATTCACATTCTTTATCAGGTGCTGCACTACATACCAGCGTGTGAGAGAAAAGATAAAGAACCACAACAGAAGGTTTCTGAGGAAACTTTCCAGGAGACTCAACATGTCGATGGTGAGAATCAAACCAGCAGTTTAATAAAAAATCACACTTTAAGAATGAAACAAAAGATTCCAGTAAAATTGTCCTTTTTCCTGATTTTAACTGGACGATAGGTTTATTAAACAGACTAGTGAGGACACAAGAGGGGTTTTTTTCTGATGACTTTGAATGCATCTTGTGAATCTTTTGGAAATCTGTCTTTTAGCTTAAGATGGGTTTTTTTGCACAGAAATGTTTGTCTGATTATGATGCTACAAGAATGTCAATAAGTCATGAGGATTTATTGACATCACAATAAGAAACACACAAAAGTCACACACTGCTGGTACCAAATTATTTTATTAGTATTTGCAGATCTTCTTCAGGCACTTTTTTTTAGGTGCAAGTTATATTTTCAGACGTCATGTTGCATTTACAGGGCTCACTAAACAATAGAAAATAAATGATCAGGTCATAAAACAGCTGGTAGGCGGTCAGATGTGTGTCATCAGTCGGCCACATGTGTGAGCCAAGTGATGGCATCGACCTTTATTTATTTATTTATAACTAGAATTGGGATTTTTTGCGATTTTTTTTGTGTGTTTTTCTTTCTTTTTTATTGGTTGGTTGATGCAATGAGAACCTGTCTTTTATTTGCTCTGAAGATCTTTTGGTTCAGCTTTTGCAAGAAAGTTTCCTCCACATGTGAACCCTTTTTGCTGTTCCAAAATAATATCACCAAAAGAAATATGAACATCCACAGAGTCAAAACAAACGAGCAGCTGCTTATAAGCATTATATGATATGACTTTCTAAATGAGATTATTTCTATTTTTTATATCATCAGCAAACTCAAAGTTGGCCACGACAATCTAAAGCAGACTTTTTTTTCATTCTGACTCTGTTGCTTTCAAAATTTCTTATTTTTGTGTGTTTTATTTCCTCCAAACTCTATTAATTTGGGTCATATGAGTTAATCACAGTTTCTTAGTTTAGTTTTTTTCCAACTGTGTATTTTAGAAACTGATAAAGGTGAACATACACAAACATACATATACGTTATGTGGCACTTTCACAATCAGCAACAACAGTTTTTCTATCTACAAGTCTCACTTTCAGTCATTAAAAATAGTAAAATAGCAAAGCAACAGAAACAATATCATAGTAGCTCTGAGTACAGTGGAACAAACAGCATCCACACAAGTTAAAATGCCAATTCTGAGTGTTAAAAAAGCAACAAAACACTCAGTTTGTGACAGATTGCACTGAACTGCAGCTGTTCCAGGTCCGGTCGGTGATGTTCCTCTGCACACGGTTCATCTGGAGGAGTTTCGAGCTGAGCTGCAGTCTCTGATCAGCTACTTCCACCTTTCATACGACGTTGGGAACCTCAGGACGACTGCGGACGAGATGGAGTTGTTCAGCCTGGTAATGTTGTCTAACTGACACGTGATTCAGCATATGAAGAAAGTCTGTTAATGTGTGCTGCCGTGTGTCCAGGTGTGGAGGGAGTTCAGGACGATGTTCAGGCAGCAGGAGAAAATGAAAACGTTTCCTCACTACGACGGTTCGGACGTCAAAGAGGCTCAGTGGGGGAGGAAGAGTCCAGACATGGCTCTGAAGAAGGAGGCCAACTGGATCCCCTTCATACAGGTAAATGAACCAGAAGAACAAAACTGTTCGCCAGCATTTAGTTTAGTGTTTTTTAGGGAATAGCAGAGCATCTCAGTCAGAGTTTATCATGTAGTCAGTCCTGTTTGGATGTTCTGATCAAGTGTAGGAAAGAATGACTTCATTTTCCCGTCACGTCACTTTTTAAATTGTGAATTTTCTTTACAAAATACTTAATTATTTTAATTTATTTATTACATTTTAGGATTTTCCTTTAACTGCATTCAAAAATGGCATCTATTATATTGCTGTCTAAACCATTTTGGAAATAATGAATAAAAAGACAATAATACTGAAGTTAAAAGCTTCACGACCACATATAATAATATATATGTATTAATAAAGTGTATCATCTGAAGGTTCATTCTAAAAGTTCCACATTCTGATAAACCAGACTTAAAGCTTTGCACAACAGAAAATAAAAGCAACAGATAAACAAAATGCTACTTAATCCAACCCATTATCACCTTTTCTGTAAAACATTTCTTTTTTGTCTTTAAAGCATTACTTTATGTGTATATTTTTTTTATTGTGCAAACACCAAACATGCTGTTTCATCCCAATACTGGAGGAGCTTCATCTGAAACTCTGGATCCAGAAGTTCATCATCACATCTAAAGTCTGAAGTTGATGTAAAACTACCTTTTTTATGTTGGTTAATCAAGAGCAAACAGTGTTGTAGTGGTGCTCATGTTGTACTCTTAGACTCAGTCACAGAGCAGGAAGCTGAAAGCGGTGAAGCTTGAGGACAGCAGATATTCAGTGTTCTGTCCTGCAGGTGAAACCCAGACGAGATCCGTGGCAGCAGAAGCTCATCACAAAGCTGAAGGAGAAGAAATCCGTGGATGAGCTGCTGAAGATGCACTGCAGGTTCCTACAGGTGACAGACTGAGCTCTCAATCAGACCTGATGATGCAAAACATAAACAAATGTTCCATCTGAGATCATCAGATTTGTAGAACAATTTCTGCTCAGCCGTCTTTGATTTGCCCAAAATTTTAATAGCATAAAATATGGATATTTAGAAATAGGAGATAAAATGTTGAAAAATTGCATGTCACCAATTCTTCATGATCTTTGTTTTGTGTTATTGTGACGTGCAGCTACATGTAGTTCAGAAAATAGTTGGTGTTTGCATGATCATTTCTTTGTTAATGTGCTCAATGATGGGACTTTTCACAAGGACTTTAACTTTTTTTATTATATATTTAAACTCACCAATAATCAGAGATACTTCGGTCTACCTGTCTAATATTACATCAATGACATGATGAGAAAAGAAGGTGAAATTTCAGCCTTTTCTCTTCAATAGTTCTTCAGATATTGTGGTTCAAACACAGACTTAAACTGCAATGTCAATAAAAACAAAAAGTGCTAAAAGTGAGTCAATGGGCAAATTAAAAAAAAATAAAAATCTCTGAATGTATTTGATACATCAAGCTAAAATTGTAAAATAATTTTTGGTTAAAGAAAAGTTCCAGGCAAATCAGAGATGATCGAGCAGAAGATCTCTGATGATTTGAGATGGAACAACTAATATTGGCTGAAAAATGAGGCTCATGCTTGTTTTTTTCTTTTGTGAAAGCTGCAGTATAGAATATCAACGACTAAACGAGTCCCCCCTGTCAGGATCAATAATATAAAGGTGCACTAGCGCTTTAACAGGCTTCTGTGTTTGTGTAACGCACAATAAATGACAAAGCACTAAACATACGCATTATTTATTGAATAAAACAACAACGTTTATTTCCATCTGTGATCATGTTCACCTGATCTTAACACAGATAGTCCAGCACATAGTTTAAATCCTTAAATTCAACATTCCAGGTTTGCAGAAGAGCTTAGATGTGTAATTACAACCTAAAATTTGATCTCAGCAGCCTTTTAGCTATTAATTCTGTCAGTATTGTGGCTTGTTAATAAATGCAGCCTACATTTCCATCGTGAAGGTTTTCTGTCATGTTTCGGGTGTTATATTGACTTCTTTGTGTATCTGAGCAGGTCTCTGATCTGCTGCATGTGGCTGCAGCTTTAAAACAACACGCCGCTCACGTTGGACACTCACAGTCATCCTCACACAGCAGCAGGACAAAACGAGAGAAGACCTCTGAGATCTGGACGAGCATCTACAATGCTGCCGGTCTCACTCAGGTACAGATCGGCCAGTTTTCTGCTCAGAGCGACCAGAAAAGTGCTGCTGATATCATAAAGGTGACGTTTGTCTTTGTAGGAAACACAAAGTCGGTCGTCCAGATCCAGAGGCAGCAACAAAGACAGTCTGAAGAGTTCAAGCACGATAAATGAAAGGTGTGTATTATTTATGATGTGGCAAGTTTTACTGATACTGAATCATAAATCATAAAACAATGAATCTACAGTTTATTCAAGAAAAATACTAAACAATATTTGGTTTCTGCCGCTCTCATGCAAATCATTTTTAAAAATTTTTTTATTTCATATTCTTGTAATTGTATACTTTGCTCTGTTTTTTTTCAACATATCAAACAGGCAGTTTCCTCAATTTTTGGGAAACTGTGATAAGAATTTAACATAAGGTTCATTTAAAGATGTTTAGAAGATGTAAGAAGCAAAATAAAAGATAAATAAGCAAATTTTTACTGTCTGTGTCTACAGATTTTGGTCTTTGTTGACCCCTTGACAGTATTCAGATTCTTTATTTAAATAAAAGTACCAATACAGCAATGTAAAAATACTCCAATACAAACATGAAAAACATCCTACTTACATACAAGTGCACAAATATAAGGAGAAAAAAGTAGTTAAAGTTTAAAAAAAATACTCCCTGTGATATATTATTACATATCGGGCATGCTAAAATGATTTGTATTTAATAAATTGAATTAAATAATAGATGTTTTTAATGGTTAATCAGAGAGAAAAGAGGGAAAAAAACAAAGCTTGGCTAAATTAATCTGCTCTCAGTTTTAGATTTTTTTTTTTTTCTGGGTTATTTGAACTTTTTGAACTGAAAACATGTAAGAAGTTTAGAGGAAAAGAAAACTCACAATTCCTTGGAGCTGTTAAAAGTGAAGTGAGCCCGACTGTACGTTGCTTTGTGTAAGAAGCCAAAAAGGTCCGAAAACACTGATTTAATCGTTGACAGTCTGTTTTGTTTTTGAGGTTTTGTTGTATTTATTTCTTTATTGTGTAAAATCTTCTTCTTGACAGGAACTAAAGCTGTCAGATGAATGTCATAGAATAGAAAGTGTAATATTTCCCTCTGAACTTTCACAAAGTGGAGCTTAAAATTAATGTATTTAAGTAAAATGCATTTTTTTAAAAAGTACTTGAATATACTCAGATACTTTCCAGCACTGTCTCCTGATCTTATAACTCTGTGCTTCCTTTTTAAAACTCAGCCGTTCCTTCGAGGACAGCCTGCAGGTTCTGGGTCTGGAGGACAGTTTGGATGAAGAAACGTCAGACCCAGTGATAACCAGAGGAGCCTACCTGTCCCTGGTTTACTTAAGACACCTGAAACTCAGAGAGCTGCAGGTGAGGCACACAGTCTCCATCAGGAAGAGTTGAATCACATTTATATCTGTGTGTTTTCTAAGATGCTCAGCAGCGGTCTGTCTTGATTTTTCCATCTGCAGCGTGTCTCTCTGGGGCTCCTGAACTTCCTGCGCTCCGTTGAAAGGACTCTGACGTCGGACCTGGCAGGTCTGCAGCAGGAAGAAGAGAAGCCGAGCGGCTCGGCGGAGGAGACGAGATGGATGAACGCTGCCAGAGGAGGAAGAGGAGAAGCAGGAGGACTGGGCTCGCTGCAGTACGTCCACAACACTCCGGTGGACTGCAAGGTAAAACCACGACCGAGTGTGATGTGGCTCTGGTCTGTTTAACATGAACTGGAAGAAATGTTTGGTGACAGATTCTATTTCATACAACTGAGTTATTTCCAGTTTTGACTGAAAGCATGTTGCTTTTATTTGGCTTTTCACTACGAATCAGTTTAGTTCCAGAACGAGTATTGATCACTGTTTACTTAACATTCTCACAATGTTCCATTTTTAGTTTGTTTGCACAATTTGGTGATTCTGCAAACATTCTCACAATGTTCCATGTTATTCCAGGAAGAATGTTCTCAATGTTTTTTTTATACAGAACGTTCCTGTAATCTGAAATATTTAAGGTGGAATATTTTCCCTTTTTTGTTGAGGGAACACATTATGAAACCTCTTTCCATAAAACATTCTCACAATGTTCCATTTTTAGTTTGTTTGCAGAATTTGGTGGTTCTGCAAACATTCTCACAATGTTCCATGTTATTCCAGGAAGAATGTCCTCAATGTTTTTTTTAATACAGAACGTTCTTGTAATCTGAAATATTTAAGGTGGAACATTTTCCCTTCTTTGTTGAGGGAACACATTATAGAACGTTCTTCTATAAGACCACAGTTATAACAAAGGAAGAACGTTCCTAATGCAACCCTCAGAAAACATTTTCCAGACGTTATTGAGACCTCAGATAACAAAATGTCCTTCATAGCACTCCTCTGTAACGTGATTAATATTAACAAAGGTGGAACATTTTGCCTTTTGGTTGAGAGAACATTTTGTAGAACGTTCTTCTACAAAACGTTCTCACATTCTCTGGTGCGTAATAACAAAGGAAGAGTGATACATGAACAAAGGTGAAACATTCTGCTTGCAAAGTCCGGAGAACGTTTTGGGGACGTTGTCGAGGGAACACGTTGTAGAATTTATAAAATGTTCCTGCAACGTTCCACGGTGTAGGAAGAACATCTCAGTGTGATATGTTAGAGCATAACAGTCTATTAGTGTTATCACCAAACGTTTATAGAACATGTTCAGTTATCCTGCCTTTAAGAAGAACATTGAGGGAACTAAAAACATTAGTAGAACTTTACAGAACTTCCTCAGAATGTTTCTGGAATAATAATAATCTTGCTGTTCTCTCACACAGATATACGGATTTTCAACTTGTTCATTTCTGTAGTTCAAGTAAAAGCAAATCTACAAGTTTCCTGTGTTTTTTTTTTTTTTCTTTTTATATTATCTTCCTCAAATGTTAAAAGAAACACAAACAAACAAAAATCACTGATGTAGATGTTCTCCTAACCTGTCTATGTTCCAGGTCCGCTGCTCAGAGTTCATGCAGTTTGCGGAGGTGGAGAACCTTCATGACTTCTACAGCTCGGAGCAGCGCTTCATCCACACTCAGGACCAGAGGGGCTTCTACATCGTGTACGACGCTGCTCTGAAGGACCTGGAGGAGCTGAGCAACGAGCTGCTCCTCGTCGGTTCACACTTCATCAGGACGAACAGGATCAGAGGAGCCGGGAAAACCGAGGAAAGGTCGACAGCAGACGTCAACACTTGGGCTGGGAAAGATATCGACCGGGCTGCTGTGCTGCTCGACTTGTGGACGTGTGAGACGGAGTTCTTGGAGAGCAAAGTCCAGGTAGATTTAATGAGTTTAAAGGGTCCAAACCTGAATTAATATTTCATGTGTTCACTTGAGGACTTTCTCACCTTTTAACATCATCTCTTGGATTGAAGCCAGTGAATCTTTTGCCTTTTCCAGCTCTTGAACTGCTACTATGAGGCCTACCAGCACGCAGCAGGCACTGAGGAGAGCTTTTCATTGGCTCGAGTCATCACTGACATCATGCACCGGAGGCCTCAGTTGGACTTGGACCACGGTTACTTTGTCGACACCTACAGGGCCGAGATCAGCTGCCTGCAGAACCACCGGCAGCTGATCCGAGACGTTCTGGATAATCAGGTGAAAACAAAAGACGCAGATGTTTTGTTCTTAGGTGTAAATATAAAATGTATAAAGGTTCTGGTTTAGAGAACACATGGAACAGTTCAATGATAGAATGATAACTCATCTGTTGGGTCTGTATGCATTCTGGTTGCAGAACATTTTGTCTGTTTGTTGAGGTAGCACATTACAGAACGTTCTTATATGAAACATTTACACAATGTTTCATGATAACAAAGACAAAATTTTCTCAAACCAACATTTGGAAAACGTTTTCCAAATGTTATCGAGGACTCAGATGATTTTTTTTTTTTTTTAAATAAAACTTTACTTCAACATAATACATTAAAGGCTGAACGTTCTGCCTTCATGTAGAGGGAACACATTATAGAACATTCTTCCATTAAATATTCTAAAAATGTTCCATGATAACAAATGAAGAACGTTCCCAAGCCATCATTTGAAAAACATTTTCCAGGGTAACTGAGGCCTCAGATGACAGAATGTGTTTCATACAGAAGGTTCTTGTTATGTGATATATTCAAGGTAGAACATATCGACTATTTGTTGAGGGAACACATTATAGAACGTTCATGTTTCATTATAACAAATGAAAAAGGTTCTCAAACTAATGTTTGGAAAACATTTTCCAGATGTTGTCGAGGCCTCAATTGATTTCTATGAAATGTTCCTGTAACGTGATGCCCTATCAAAAACATTTTACCTTCTTGCTGAGGGAACACATTTTAAAACATCTTTCCATAAAACATTCTCACAATGTTCCAACAAACGAGAACTTTCTCAAACCATCATTTTGAAAACATCTTCCAGATGTTATGGAGGCTTCGGATGACAGAACAGTTTTTTATTCAGAACGTTTTATAACTTAAATAATAGAGTAAAAATAAACTCTCATCATGAATCATGAAATGTTTTATCCAAGAAACAGACTTAATGTGGAAGAAAGTCGTCAGGATTCTCGGCCTGCTGGACCTTTACTGCATCTCATTCTTTTGCTCCCTGAACATAATTACTGCCTTTTTTCCCAACATGTCTATCAACGACAAATTTTACAAATAGTGTAAAAAATAATACAAACTTGCTGCATGTCTTGCTCATTTGTGATATATATGAATTATTTTTTAGGGCAGAGAGAGTTGTTATGATCACTTTTCTTTCCTATTTTAAACCTTTTGTAGACTAAAATAATAAAATAATCAATAAAATATCATGTACATATGTTCATTAATAAACTGATCAGTAGCTGTAACCCTTGTTTGAAAGTAATAACTGGTGTTTTGGGGGAAAAAAATCTTGTTAGAGCAGCATTGTGTGCAAATCAGTGAAATTTCAACTTTATTTTATTGTAATCTTCGTTGTGCATGCTGTGACAGATTGTGTTGTTGATCTCATCAGATAAAAACACAGCGACAGTATCTTGATCGCATCTGGAGAGACGACCGCAAAGGCTCTTTCAGCGACTACGGCCTTCCACCAAACTACGCTCCCAAACATCTGGTGTCACTGGGAGGCAGCAGGCCAGTAAATACAGATGTTGTGGAGCTTTAATCCTGTAGAATCTTATTATTTTGTCTAATGTTTCCTTCTTTTTGTCTGCAGCCCTGCACTGATGAGCGTTTTCCTCCTGGAGGTCCACCCGTCCCTCTGTCTGGCCTCTGCAGTCTATCAGGCTTTAACTCGGGCTCACGCTGAACTCTGTCAGCTGCATCGAGCCACGAGCGTCGCCGACAAACTCCACCTGCAGCAGAAGCTCCTGCGTCAGGCTCTGCACAGCTGGAACAGCCTGCCTTCAGCTGGAGCCTCCTACAGCTCGCAGATACAAAAAGATGTAAGTGCTGTCTCTGGGAATCTGGACTTTAAAGAAACGAAGCAGCTTCACTAAGTTGCTTTCCTTCCAGTTGTTCTCAGATGTGTTTGTCGACGACCCGGTTCTGGTCCAGAAGTTGGGCCTGTCGGTGGTAAAACGTGCAGAGGAGAAGGACATGAAGCAGGGACGAGAGAAGCAGCTGCTGGCTGTGGAGACTTTCATCCAGCTGCTGGAGCTCGTCACCGTTAGACACCGACTGCTGGAGGCAGCGTCAGAAACTGCACATCTGGCACAGTTAGTAGAAAACACACAGCTGGAGGGACGAGGTGTTTACAAAGTGTTCTGTGTTTTAGCGTATTCTGACCTGAGAGCGTCCAGAAGTAGAACTAGCAAAGAAATATCCTATAACTAAAACAATATCATTTAGTTTTAGCTCCAAAAAGTTGAGATTTTGGAAACAAAACATTTCTTTTTTTATGGGTTGCATTTTTTCTTGTATTTTATTTCATACGACACAAAATGAGCCTCAAGTCAGAATTTAGACACGATGATGATAAAATCAACAGCTAGATTTATTTCACTTTTTCATGCTCAGAAAATGACATTTATAAAACACTTTAGCTTTTATTTAGTTTAAATTGATCAGAATATGGAATAAGAAAACAGACTTATATTTCTGTGTTATCCATGATGATGATGATTCAGATTTCAATAGAAATGCATTGCTAATAACATTTCATTAATATTTCAAAGATCCAGACTTTCTTGTAGCTCACACCCTGGATGTGTGGTGTGAATTAAACTGTTATTTAAAAATCCAGTTTGGGTTTCCAGTGCCTTCTTCTATGTAACATTTAGTTATAGCCTGATTATTCTGAGTACTATGAAAATAACTAAAATAGATGTTTTTTCTTTTAACGTAACATTCTTCCTCATCCTGGGCAAAATAGTCCTCCTAATATTACTATTAATTATAAAACAAATCTAATTATTTTGGTTTGTCAAACATTTTCATTAAAGGGTTTGTTCTTACTTTTCTATATGGTTGAATAAGAACCAACAAGAGCTTCCTTTTGTTGTCGTCAGATCAGACAAGTAGAGGCTAAAGATGTGTATTTATTAAGCTATTTATAGATTAACACACAGATACTGAAACCTTGAAGCATCAATATGACAGATTGTAACTAACAATTTAAAAAGTACTGTACAGTGTTTAAATATGATGGAGTCGGTTTCATAAATTATTCCTGTACATCCAGGAATTATCCAGTACCATTGATTGATTAAAGGCCTGTAACATTGTGTCATTTATTACAGGCTGTACAGAAACGTGGCCTCAGAGCTCGGCTTCGATGAGTTCCACTTGTATCTGCGGCCGCTGCAGTTTGAAGTTGCTGAACAGAAACAGCGAACCCAGCAGAGGCCTGTTTTCATCACAGACATACTGGAGGACGACAGCTCTGTGGACAGGTACGAAATACTGCAGTTTCCTAATTATATGTTCTTTATGTTGGCTTTCATTTTTCTCCACTGCTGTCTGGCTTCTTGTACAGAAGTCTGACAATATCTGCAACAAGTTCTTCACTAACGTAAACCAGATGTTTGGATTTCTCTTGACTTGTCTCACATAAATACTGATGCATGTCTGTCTCCTCATGTGTCCTCTGTTATTATTTCCGTTTGTCTACAAGAACTAAAAGGAAATGAAATCGCTCTGCTGTCTGCTGCAGGTTTATTCCGTCCCAGCTGCCTCTGAGCATCCAGGAGCTGGATGAGGATCAGGTCGGGAGGTTTAGTTTCAGCTCCGAGGAGGCTGTTCACCACGTATGATAACATCCAACATCAAGGCTTATTAGCTCAATGAATGAAACATCAAATCAACCTTGTACTTGCTGAACCTTTTCTTACCTCTTCATAGCTGATGAACAAACAGAGTATGGAGAACCTGCAGGTGGCTTTGGCCTGTCAGGTTTCACAGAAGAACGCCTTGATGAGTGCAGTGAAACTGGCCTGTGTCTGTCACTGGGCGGAAACCGGTTCATCTGCAGCTGACGAGGTGAAAGTGACATTTAGTCGAGTATATTTAAAATTATTTTATACTTCTAGTCCACTACATCCATTCACCCATTGGTACATCTAAATCTGACAACCCATAGTTATTGTTCTGATTAAGATTTGACATAAAAATGGCATTTAATGAGCTTTAAAATACAAGAAGTTCAGTTCCAGTTTGATGGATGACATTTATCAAGAAAGCAGCATTTTCAGGTTTCAGATGTTTATGTTCTGTTAGTAGTTTTAGATTTACGTTTCTTCTCAAATGTTCTCAAATTGAACAAATGATTGAGGCCCCAGCATGTAAAATTATCCAATATTTCACAAAAAAATGCTAAATTTAGAGACAAATCCAAAAAATGGATGCAAATTTGTGTAACAGAACTTTGTTTTGCTATAAAAATGTGTGCATTTAAGACTATTTTGTATTTCAACTCATTTTAAAGGGATAGACAACACTTATTAGTACATCTAACTTTGACAGTTAAAGTTACTTTTTATAGTAAGATTTTACATAAAAACAGCATTTGATGAACACATATAATACAACAAATCATTTAAGATAAAACCAGCAGTTCCAGTTTAGCTTCTGGATTTTTTCTAAAACGCAGCGTCCATTAAAGGAACCTTTCATATGAGCTGTTTCCATTAAAGAGAGATTTCCTTTTCTTCTCAAATGCTCAAACTCAAGAAAACAAAACAACAAAGGCCTGAACAGGTATAATTGTCTAATACTTTACAAAAAAGCAGTAATTTGAGATTAATACAAAAAAATGGCTAAAATTTCCGTAGCAACTTTATTTTGCTGTACAAAATATGGACATTTAATGTTTTTTTATACATCAATGTGACGACATTTAGGAGAAACAAATCATACTTTATGGTACGTGTAAATATCTCAGCCATATTTGCTTCTTTTCAAATTAAGAATTTACATAAAAGCAGCATTTGATGAGCTTATAAAATACAACAAATAGCTACAGATTTAAGGAAGCTGTTCCAGTTTGGTTTATGACAAGTCAGAGCACCTTGTCACAGTGCAGATGTGTCTGTGTGCTGGTAGTAGTTTGAGTAAAGACAGAATTAAAATTTATTATTAACTGAGGCCCCAACTGATAAAAATTATCCAAAAATTCTAAAAAAACAAAAAACAAAACAAAGAAATAAGACAAAAATAGATCAATTTGTGTAATCCAACTTAGTTTTTTCTTATTTTTGATCACCTTAATCATGTAAAGAGCCTTCAGATTTATATTGTGGTCCTTTAGTTTGAAAACTACCAGACCTGAATGCATCTGATTTATACTGTAGATAAAACCAGCTCCAGTAAAACAGTAAAATTCTCCTCACACATTGATTCATTAACTTTGCCTAAATATTCTGAAAACCTCTTGTGTTGTACCTGCTTCCCTCTAAACAAACTGCTGCTCAGAGAATCAGTTTGTTTTCTGATTTATTCTCAGAGCGAAGACGTAACATCCAAATCAGGAAGCGACTCCAGCAGACTGCAGCACAAATCAGCCTCCAGAAGAAGCTTCACCTCCACAAAGCAAAGGTGACTTTCTCCGTTTCAAGAGCGAACTACACAAAGCTGCACTTGTTTGCTGTCTCTTTAATAAACACAGTGTTTGTTCCTCCAGGGCGACGGAGGCTTTTGTGTCCATCCAGCTGGAAAAAGTGGGTCTGCGCGACGAGATGCTGAGTTCGTTTGTGAAGAAGAAACGGGCCATGGGGGGTTTCATAAGAACGCCGGTGAGTTGGAGGATTCTCAGGAGGATAAATGCAAACGGCTGCCCATCAGAGTCAGAATCAGAAGAATCAGAATCTCTTTATTGTCATTGTACAAAGAAAGCACAACAAAAATTTGAGCTCTCGTAGGCACAACATCAGGAACCATCATTAACTTCTGTCCTCTCTGTGCAGGAGGAAGCAGCGAAGATCAAGAGGGACCTCATAGTCGACTTCCTCAAGAAGTCAGTTCATGAACATCAGCTGCTTTCCTTTTATTACAGGACAAAGCAACACGTAACTCGTCTCATGTTGGAAGTTTTCTTCTTTATCGCACTGATCTGTTATTTCTACAGATTCAACACGCAGGTTTCTCTTCACTGTGTGAGAGCGCAGATTGTTGCCTATTACTGCAGCCTGACCTTCCTCCTGGACGACATTCCCTCCATCCGACAGTCACACTTCATGACTGGAAACGCCACCGAGCCCAAAGTCCTGCTGGATTCAGGAGCTGAGCTTTGCCCTGACCCCAGGTACAACCAGTGGTATTTATGTGTGTAGGAACAAATTGGCATCAGTTTATTGAAGCAGTCAGATTGTTGCAGGCTTTTATCTTTAGTAGTTCCTGAGATGATGAAGCTTCGAAGAGAATAGAGAGAATAGAAAAATACTTTATTAATCCCAGTCTGGGAAATTACTGTGGTACAGCAGCAGTTTCAAGTTTCAGTTTGTGAAAAAACGTTCTAAAAGTAGCACAAATCTTTGCAAAATATTTGATATATCAAGCTGAAATTTCACAAATGTCTTTATTAAATATGCACAGCTATAAAACTTTTGTGCAAATCAGTGACACTTGAGCAGAAATGTTCAGATGGAATGACCCTGATGTGTTTCTCTAAAACCAACAGGACGTTTCAGCGTCGGCCGGAGCAGCTGATCGGAGCAGATGGAAAAACTCTCCTCAACCTGTGGTACATCCCTCATTTCACCGAGCTGCTGCTCATGTTCAAAACGCTCGACGTTTCGGTGAGACACTCGAACTCATCACTGAGAATGTTGCTATCACATCATTTCCTAATTCTAATTGTCTCTACTTCTGCCACCGTGCTGCCCCTCTGCTGCCTCCAGACCTGCTCTGAGTCCCTCCATCACACTCTGCAGATCGTATCAGCTCTTCACGACATCACTTCTTACCTGCTCAGTTTCTCCAGACTGGGCAACAGAGACGACTCCTGCAGCTGGAGGACAGAACCAGGCGTGACACATCTGGCTGCCGACTGGGGAGGAAGCGAAGGCATCGGTGGGTTTATGTTACAAACGAGGCATCACGCTTACAGCAACACACAGGAAGTAGCTGTGATGTTTGGGGACACATCATCTGTTTAGTGGCAGCAACTTGCAGGTTTCACTCAATTCATACGTAATATGTCTCATTTTAAAAGTTAATACATGATTTTATATCTTTATGAGACACAAATGTTGAAATTCTGACGATAAAGATTCAAACAATGATAAAAAAAACGTGGCAGCTATTAGATGATGAATCTGAAATGAAATGAAATGAAATGAAATGAAAAATACTTTATTTAGGAGGATGAAGAAGAAGAGTGAAGAAGCGTGACATCATTGATCTTGTGTAAACCTACAAACACGAAGGAGAAGAAAGTTTTCAGAATGATTGATATGATTGATCAGTGACAGAAAAACTGATAGATTTGCATAAAAGGCGATTTCTAAAGCTTTTTCCCCACACAATGTGTTACATTACGGGAGTCGTCTCTGCCTTATCGCACTGTTTCCTGGGATTTCCCAATTTAGTGAAATGTATGCATGTATTAATCATGTAGGGAGAGAGGCTGGAAAACCTACTATCAGCCCGTAGAAGTCGGCTGCAGAGGCTTTGCAGGGCGCTCACTCTGCAAAGTTCTGAGTCGTTTGGGCTTTACGGGGACGGCCAAGAGGAGGGCCATCCAATGTGAAGCCGCAGAGAAGGCCACAAGGTGGCTTTGGATAAAGAGGGCTGATCCGTGGACTGCTACTGGGGGGACTTGATCAACCCTGGCTGGGTCACCTGGGTGAGGGTGTATGATGTTGCGAAACCCAAAACACCCGATGACCCCAGGATACATCACTGAGGATGCGTCCCAGTGCATCCATGAGATGTGTCTTGAATAGTTTTAGAAAAATATTTTTTCTTCCAAGAGTTGTCTGTTTCTAGGCTCGTAGCAGGCTCATAATTGTAAAAATGTGGTCCATCATATGTGTATGAATGTAGGTTTTCAACATTTTTAGAATCTAAAACTACTATTAGGATATATATTTATATTTACATATATTTATATTGTTAAACTAGACACAACTTGGCCGCTCTGTCTTTTGTGAAGCTTTGTTTTTTTCATCAAACTAAGTGACAAAGCTGCTGTAAATGTTGTTTTACTGCATGTGTGGGCACATTTCCTTAAAAATCAAGCTTCTTTTTCATTATCCTACATCGTAATTCACTAATCTGCCTGAACTTTGCTTTTCCTGCTTGTACAAACTGATGCTACCGAATTAAGCAAAGTCAAAAACCACAGAATTAAGTTCCTGCGTCTAAAGATACCAAACATATCTGGATGTACTGCAGAGAAAAAAATCTAAACTGACAGACAAGACAGCTTAAATATTTCCTTTTCATGTAAAGGAGCAGCCTAGCAGTCTGGAGTTTGAATATTTGCCTCAGAATTTGTCTTCTAGAAACTACATTTTAGGGAGAAATCAAGAATTCAAGAAGCTTGAACAGAAAAACAAGCTTTAAACAATAAACGTGTCCACATTGTATATGTATGAACTTCCTGAGATGACTTGACTGTTGTTTTATTCATTTATTCTGCTGGTTTTCTGCAGTAAATAACATTTTTAAAATGTGTCACAGGCAGTTTTTCTTGTTGGATAAAGATGTCTGTTGAATGCAGCTGAAGGCCAGACAATATTCATGATAAAATAGGAAACGTATGCGCCTGTATTTGGAAATGGAACCACACATTTCTATGTTCTGTGCAGGATCAGAGCTGCAGGAGATCCAGCGGCAGGTCGACCGTCTGTCTGACTGCAGCCTGCGGTCCGTCGGCCGACTGCTGCAGCTGCGCCGGCAGGTCGTCCTGCTGCAGTTCGATGCTGCCGTCAGAAACCTCATCAGGTGAGATGACTGCATCTGGACATCACGTCCTGCTGCTTCTGTCCATCCTGACCGTCTGGCACAAAGAGAGTTTAAGGCACTTGAGCAAATGTTGTTTCTTTCTTTTCTATGTTTGGTTTTCTTTGCTGCACTGTTCAGTTTTCTGA